ATTCTCTCCAGCACCAAACACGATAAGGAGTCACCTTGTCTGAAACCCCGTTTGGTATCGAACGGCTCGAGAATGTCCTTCCCGATCCTAATGGACATAGCGGTGCAAAGGCAGCTCGTATTAGTGCTGTCAAAGGCAGCTTTGAAATTGACGAAGAGGTGGTGGGAGTCGATCATCTTTTCCAAGATTTGGCGCATGGTGATTTTTTGGTCAATTGGTTGATTTATCAGGTGTAAAGCAACGCTGATAAGGTCCAACCAGTTTGTTGACGGCGTCCTTTAGTCTTTCACACAATATGCTAGACAGGACCTTGTACGCGATATCAAGGAGGCTTATCCTAAGATAACTGGCGCTTACTGTGGGGTTCCCTTTTTTATGGATTTTGGCAGAGCACACTTAAATCCAACCATCAGACATGATTTCGTCCGAATGATAGCGCTCCAGCTCTTAAAATAATCGTTTGCAGTATCCGCTGGTGGAAGCAGAAGAAGAAGAAGACCTCTACTCCGTTGGATGGATTAGATAGAGAGCAACCTGAGTTCACGGTATATTTCCAACTGGCGCTAAAAAGCGAAGAGAAGAACCGAATGGCCCTCTATTGTTGATTCGGCTATATTCGCGTAAGCGGTACCTACGCCAATAAAGAGGAAGAAAAAGTTCTTTTTATCATTTCATCCAAAAGCGATAGTAGGTCAAGAAAAGAGAGATGTACCATTGAAAACTGTGAAAATAATTGTAAGTATGTAACGCAAGCGTTGATATCTCAATTGAAACGAAAACAAGAAACGATAGTAAAAACCTAATTTGCCAGACATAAATTTGAAGGAAATTCGCGTGCAGCAACAGAATAAAAGGGCGATTGCTAGAATTAAACTTTTTTCCGGTCTCTCTTTATCTTCAAATTATATGATTGTCTACGCGAAATTGTCGAGACGTTCGACTGGCAGTCAGCATATCTTTATATATGTAAGTATGTATGTGAGTACTTGTATCTGTTCCACATGTAATATCTACTGCACAGTAGAAATAAAAAATTGTTGGTTGCCTACTCTCATCCAGTTAAGCATAAAAACTGCACAACTCGTTTTAGAAAAAATTTATTGGTTGGAAAAAATGATTGAATTTAGTGTTGTGAAAATCAATATTTTGTACTAGAATTGTTTTTTTTGTTTTTTTTTTTCATTTTTGTTACACATAAATAGTGCTTACGTGCATCATAATCATTATCATGCAGTTCGCATATATACACACATATACATTTATATATATTTATTTACAACAAATGGCATGTAAAAACTCGTATGCTCTGCCCCATCGACCCGAACACATTTTCCACCATTCGAAATGCTCCAATTTTGATGCAAGCCACTTGGTGTCTGTCTTCACCTCATTGATAGAGTTAAACGTAATTTTATCCCAGCAAACCAAAAGTATGAAAGCAGACGCTTTTAAGGCATCGAAACTTTTACGCTCATTAAAAGCACACAATATAATCATGAATATTCTGAAAAACGTTCAAAAAACGGATATTTTATTTATCTATTATTATTTTTATATTTTTATGGTATTTGGCGGCCAATTTGTTTATTTTAAGTTAAGAAGCTTCAATTATTTTTATTTTTTTATTTATTTTCTTCTTCTTTTTTCTTGAAACTTGTTCGTCAGAATGGGCTCGCAATTTCACTTAGAGAAGCAGCTTTTGCTGGCAGAGTTTTTGTGCTCCAAAAGATCTTTTAATTTCTATGAGAAGAGACCTAAACAAAAACCTGCAAACTTACTCAGATAAAAAGGAACTGCCAACAGGGGTTTATTTAGACTGAGTACCCTGCAAGTCAATTCCCTTTATATTGTATGCTTCGGTGCCATGGTCAATGACATCATTTGGTGAGTTAGCGTTGAGAGTTTTCGAGAGAGAGAGGTGTTGTGTAAGAGATATGGTCTTCTGCGCATTGAGAACGGCGAATGCCACAGATAATGGAACGATGAGCTGTACGAGATGTACGGCGACATTGACATATGTAGGTCAGCGAATCATGAGACAGCGGCTACGCTGTAATATTGCGACGTTATAAAATTCCTTACAAAGGAAGGAATGTTATGTTAGGGCGACTCTTGTCTGATAAAAACTGTGATGTACTAGTGCAAGGTTTCTTTATACAGTCAAGGAAGTCCCTTGAAGACGACTCGCGGCGGGAGGAGGCTCGAACGCCACACCAGAACTTAAGCAAAAGGTTGAAAAAACTCGCAGAAATGGTTGTGATGATTCGATATCTGCGGGATCGTCTTGATATGACTAAGGTAAACCCAAAAATGATAACCGTGTTGTGTTGGCTACCCTGCATAAGGTGGGCATCACTGTTTTGAATCAACCACCACTCTACAGTCCTTACCTGGCCAGGGTGATTACTACTTGCTTTAGAAAATGCTAAGAGAGCGTAAAAAATTTTACATCGATGACGAAGTCAAAGAGGCAGTTCCGGCGTATTTTAAGGATAAAGGGAAAACATTTTTGTATGAGAGTAATAATAAATGCAATGAAAGACCTGAAAAATGCTTCCGACCTTCAGTTGAATGCATTGAAAAGGAAAAAATATCCCCCATTTCTAGTATTCTTTTCAAACTAACTCTGATTACATAGTACGTAGAACCATAGCCAAAACTCACATTTTCTCTGGAGTTATGCTTGGTACTTAACTTTTTGATATAACGTTGCGAAAAGTCCAAATTTCTTTTATGGTAAGGTGAGTTAACTAGATTACAGCGTCTTGTAGAGCAGCTGTTTTTCCTAATGCGCCGCCTTCTGATTCTTCATTTCATTATGCTCTAAGCACTCATTTACTAATAACACTTTTAGGTGTCTTTTTTCCCGAGTGCTCCCAAAATGGTAGGCTGGGATACTATTATATATGTATGCGAACACGTATGAAAGCTTCATATAAACAAGATTTTATGGTCGATATCGCGTAAGTTTGTTTAGCCTCGTAGATACAAAGATGGTCTGCCCTTTTCTAGCACAAATTTCTAATCGTAAGTTTTTCATTGTTTTAATGGAATGTAAGAAAAATACTTTTATAATTATTTTATTTATTTCCTTTCTAATGTAAATACACACATAGCATGTGCGCAAGTCTTATACTTTTAGAAGTTCGATAGAAATTTCAATCTGCCACTTTCAACTGCGACTTTTATAAATCGTAAACTTGACTGCCGTCTAGCCTAATCATAGACTCGATGGACTTGCGTATTCATTATTCTCCATCCACTGCAGTTAATTCAATTCGGTTTCCTTCCTCCTTGCAATTATCATTCGTTGGTATATTCCATTTTCTGGATTGCCTGTACGGATTTACCTACTGCTAAAAGGAACGGTTATAGGCGGGAGCAAATGTTTAGTCTCCCCAATGGGTTGGAGGTTAAAAATTGTTTATGCCGGCTCACTGCCTTTTAAACCATTTCGTTTTACGTTGCTGTAAGTGATCCACTTTTCATTTCACCAGCCACCATCCGCATCAGAAATGGGTAGATTTTCATGAGATTTTTTCAAATTAACTCATTTAGCACCCATACATCGGACTTCTTTGTACATCAAGCCTTTTTCAACTGATTCCAAAGTATTTTTGGTGCAATGTTTAGCTCCAGGGCAATCCAAACAGTGCTGGCAGACTCGCAGGTTTCAATTATTTTATCGAAAGTTTCAACAATTTTTTAAATAAAAATACCGAGACAAAACGGTGTTTTTTATTTAAAAGACGGGAAATTGTGAAAATCAACCGCACAACGCGTTAAAATTCTTAAAAAAAGTACTACAAAAATGGTGATACAAATGTGGCCACGTTTCGTGCTTTAAGAGGAAATTACGTTGCACATAAACGTCCAACAACTTATGCAATTTGTAGACAGTGCCTCCGATCCACCTGAAATATCTCTACTGTAAGTGAAAGTGTAGCCGATGACCCGAACGTGTCTATTTCTCGACGTTTTTAAGAGCAGGGACATTATTATGGCGTATTTTACACTTGAACTTACACCTACATCCATATGAAGTCCATCTCACACAATTGAAGCCAAGTGAGCACTCACATCGTCGTCCATACGTCGATTTGGTGCTTGAAGAACAAACATTGGACGGCGATTTAGCGAAAAAAATTTTCTTCAGAGACGAGGCACACTTCTCACTCGTCTAGTGTGCTATTTGGTCCGAAGGTGTGATAGAACCTTACTTCTTTGAGGACGACAGCAGCGAGACTGTCACTGTCAACTAGGTGCTTATTGATTGTATGATATCCATTTTTTGTTGGCTTATATTATATAACACGACTTGGGCAATATGTGGTTTCAACAAGAAGCTGCCATATGGCACACAACCCGAGCGATTATGGCTTTATTGCGAGAGAATTCTCCCGGTGATGTCAATTGGCCAGCGAGATCGTGCAATTTGACAGCGGTGGAATTTTTTTTTGTTGGATTTTGTGAAAGACCGTGTTTATGCGTAGCCATCAGCCGTTTTGCAGCGGCTTAATGAACTACAGCTTAGAGCGTACTACAGTTTTTACGCCTCCTCCGAACGACCGATGAAACTTTATGCAGAGCTTTTTTATTTCATGTCAGGAATATACTTGGGGGACTTGACATTTCTTGCATAGAGGCGACCACAATTACAAAAATTAACTTAAATAGTTTATTTCAATTAATTTCCCTTTTTTTGATTGTTGCTCGGGCCAGTGCACGAACACCCTGACCTTCCGAATGGTGGTGCACTGCTATACACTCAGCTACTGTGCTCGCCAAACTGCACAATGAATTGTTATAATATCGATAGGGTATATCCAATATCCAAGAGAGGATTCATAACCTCAGCGGGCGTGGTGTGCAGTGATCCCCTAATCGTTATGAGTGTTCTTGTAATATACTGTTGTTATATTAAAAAAAAAAAACATTTTACCTGTTTAGTATGCCATAGCCAATTGAAATTAAATAAATACAACTACAACATATATATATTTTTTAAATCTTTTCCTTTTCTTTTTTATTTTGATTCTCAAACTCATTGCTTCACACACATTTATCATATATATTTTATGCAGTTTGCTTTTTAATAAATTCTGGCCAGTAAAAAAAATCAAATCCTTACAAAAATAGTCTATATATATGTATGTATGTTTGTGTGTTTGCTTACTTTCTTTTTATTTTTTAGTTTATAGGTAAACGCTGCACACTCACACGCATTGTTAATAAGTCTAATATTAGTAGTTACATTAAAGTGCCTATAAACAAATATTCGTATGTGGACTTGTATTTCTGTTTACTTGTTTGTATGTATAACTATAATAACTAATTATTATAACTACAAGTGGCTGTTTGCAATTTTTTATTATTTTTTTTTTTTAATTTATTTGTTTTTTTTTTTAATATTTTTTTGATATATTTTTTTTAATGATTTTTCGAATGTTTTGGATAAATACTTGAACACATTTACATACTTGTAAGGTGTGTAAATTTTGTGGACCACATAATTTGATAAAAATAAAAAATAATAATAAGCTAAAAACGCGCACTCATCACTTATATTTAATTATGTATTTATATTTGTTTGTCCGCATTTGTGTAACATTTAATTAAATAACGGTCATTATTTGTAATTTATTTGTAACTCATATGCTTTAGCTCTATACAACGAGCTAAGCTAATGCTATACATACTCGTACTATGTATATATGTATGTATATTAGAAACTTGTGTGTGTGTGGGTGTCTGTGTGTATGGAAATCAAGTGGACAGGAAGATTTCCCTACGGAACTTGGCGACCTTAATTAATTACTTTATTTTAATTTTTTTTTTATTTTATTTTAATTTAGTTTTTAACTGCCTTTTTAAGTTCACTTAAACTACCATTATGTTAACAATACGCCGCCTTATTGTTTAAATTGTTTTTTATTTATTTATATTTAATATTTTTTAATTTAAATACTTTGAATGTAATCGAAGACGTTTTCATACGAAATAACATAAATAATTAAAATAAAAACGGAAATTAAAATAATTTTAAAGTTAACTAAATGCTTTATTCGTGTTTGTTTCAATAATTTATTTTTTTTTTCTCCCCAACAAATTTATTATTTTTAGTGTTTTTGTTTTTTACATATGCTTGTGTATGTGTTCTATATTTTAATTTCCTTCTTGGAATATAATCGTTCATGATATTGTCGCCCATTGTTTATACATACATATATCAAAAAACAAGAAAATACAAGCTATCATATTCTAATACAAATATACATTTGTTCAGCGAAATTTTTTTTTCTGTTTTTCCTATGCTCTTTTACATTCGGTTTTTCAATGTCTTATACTTATTAGTTATATTCATCACTTTTTTCGTTTTAAATTATTAATAATTATCGTAATATAAAAAAAAAAGATATTAAATTAAGACGAGCGCCAATGTACATATGTATGTAGTAAGTGTATATATATGTATGGATGTATGTATGCTTGTATATATATATATACGTATAAAATACACGCTTAATTATTAAAGTCTTTTCCTTTCTGTATGAAATGTCATCTCATTTTGGAAGTTTCAGCTCCATAAATAATTCTATATACGCCAACCCTGATCGTCATCCACATTCGAATCGGTATCGGACGGCTCCTCGCCATACATGTCGGCCAATTTGCGGAAACGTGGTCCGAAATTCGACAAATAGTCAAAATTGAGATCACCATCATCAGTACAGGACGCCAGACTGGAGAGACTGCCGTCTGAGTTACCATCACCCTCGTATGCATAGTTTCGCACATCGTCCACCGGATATGTGCCCGCTTCGCGATCACAATTCTCCTTTTTATCACCCAAAAATCCACCAATATCGGGTATCTCATTATTGGGATCTTTCATCGCCTGCAGCGTATGTGGATCTTTGTAGAGTTTCTCCTCGTAGAAGGGTTGCGTACGCAACACATTAAGATCATAGTCAGTATCACGTTCGCCGCCACCCTCATCTTCGTAATTGATAATCGTTTCTCTTATGTCGTCAATATCTTTTTCATGCCAACCATTCTTCTGCTTCTTCTGCACCACCACAGCCAAGAGTATTATCAGCAGCAGCAATATGCACGCCACAATGGCGATAATAAAGTTACGATCAATGCCAAAACTAACCGCCACAGCAACGGCACGCTGACAACCCGAGTCGATGTTACGCGATATGGCAGGCGTGCCGAGATTGTAGGTATGATTATTGACGGTCAAGTTGCGTATGCAGCCGAAGAAACCTTGTCGACTGGGCGTATATGTCCAATTGAGTTTCTGACCCAGTTGCAGCAGGTCCACAGGTGTCCCGCCCAATTGCAGCGGTGCATTGACGTTGAGGAATTCGTTTGGACCTTGTGGCGCACCCAAACTGATGCATGTCGAAAGTCTACAGTTGTCCACTACCATCTCAACGCTGGTCTTTTGTAGTATAATGTCCAATTGATAGGATTTACCCACCTGCAGTTGTACGTGTCGATGTTCTATGCGTATTGCACCAGTGCCGTAGTCCACCGTCAAAGTGGGATAACCTTTGACCAGCTCGAGTGATAAGAAGTCGGTTAGTGGCAAAAGTGGATTGTAATTCAAGGGACCCAAATACATAATTAGACCTTGATCGGTTTGCGGCGCTATCTCGAGACTGATTTTAGTATTCTCACACGGCGATATGGGCTCATAGAAGGCATACCCATTGCCATAGAAACCAACAGAGACCAACTCGCAATGTGGTCCCGTGAAGCCATCAATACAGTCGCACATGTCGTTCTCACCAATGCGTGGCGTGCCGCCGTTCAAGCAATAAGTGCTTATACGCGCCTCACAAACGCAATGCCACTCAATGAACGCGGTCACACCGACAAACGACGACGTATTCGAGTAGATCATGTACGGTATATTCGATTTGTGTAGTGTGTTCATACACGAGGACTCGCATTTATATTTTTCGATTAGACATTCATCAATATTTACCATCAGCATTTGCAGACCCAACTCACGTTCGAGTTTTTGTTGATTCTGCGCAACGATGCCGTTCAACTTTTCGGGCGCATAATATGGTGAGCCATGTGCGGAGTAGCGTACATCTAGTGTGTTGTTGGCATTTTGTAATACCGTAAAAACATCTACGTTTGTCACCGAGGTGTTGAATAGCTTTGCTAGTGAATATTGTAGACGATCTTTGAGTGAAAGCGAATCGTCGGCTTGCGCGTCACGTGGCACACTGATAAAGTTCTCCTTGGTCACATTGTAGAAACGTATACTGCCACTCTTATCCACAGCTTCTTCGGGCAATTCACGCACAATAACCGTAACATCAGCATCAACAGAGTGTCGTGGTATGAAGGTTGACTCTTCGGTGACAACGAACTCCAGTAGATATTCACCCTCTTGTGTACGCTCCAACATAGTTATCATGCCGGTACTCGGATTCAAACGGAAATTATCGTGTGGAAAGCCGTTCTTCCAACGGAACTCTTTATCATCGAGATCCCAATCATCGGGATCGTCAACAAACACCCGGCCCACATCCGTATCGGGTGCTTCACCCTTGTAATTGTAGACGAAAATACGCGAGGAACCCTCTGACATGGCATTATCATTGTCATCACCAATAATCAAATGTAAAATACTGACTTTACTTTGCTTTGGCTTGCCGGAATCACTTATTCTTATCGGTATGAAGTACTCCTTTTGCTCCTCACGATCGAATTGCACATTTGCAAAAAGATAATCATTATCGATGCTAAATTTCGTCTTAATATCTGCTGATGCCTCGCTATCGATGCCATACGTATACGGTGGACCGTTTTGTTTTTCATCATAATCATCTGCTTGCAATTGCACAACTTGCCCGGGATTGCGGTTCTCCTGCCATATAACAGGCATCTTATTCACTAAGAATGGCGCATTATCGTTGATATCCTCCAAATCGATGGTCAGATGTGTTACCGACTTCAAACCTTGCCCATCCTCATCGACAGCTGCAATCAGCATCTGCCAACTCTTATGGCCGTCTGGTGGATCACGATCTAGTGGTTGAATCAGTTTAACACAGCCATCATTATCAATCGATATCATCTTCTTTTGCTCCTCCTTAACGACGGAGTACTTTATATGCTGATCGGCAGTACGATCTTTAATATCCGGATCGTAGGCTTCCACATTTAGTATACAATAGTCATAAACCATTTCCTCTTTTATGGTTATGGAATACTTCTCTTTGAATTCCGGCGGATTATCATTGACATTCGCAATTTTTATCGTAACGGTAGCATAGTCATCGTAAATTCCATCGAATGCGCGTATCTTTAGCACATATTCGGTAATGTTTTCATAATCCAGCCGTTGATTAACTGTGATCTGACCTGTCTTCTTTTCAATTTTGAACGCATTACCCACATTGCCACTCTCGATGGTGTAGACAATTTGCGCGGTGTTATCCTCATCAACAGCCTCCACTTCGGTCACTATGAAATTGATATTCGCATCTTCAGGCAGACTATCGTGTACGTATTCCGCTAGCTGGAAGTGTGGCTTGTGATCGTTCTTGTCGGCAATTTCAATGCGAAAAACTTGCTGGCCCCGATTCGGTTCGCCGTTGTTGTACAAACTCGAAGGCGAATTGTCGCTTGCAATCACTTTCACATTGTAAAAGTCACGTTCTTCACGATCGAACGTGGTCAATGCCGTTATGTTGCCTGTGTGTGGATCAATTTTGAAATATTCACGATTATCGGCCAACTCAAAGGACACAATATTATTTGCTTCCGTGCCGTCCATGTCGAAAGCACGTACCTGCATCACCGGTGTGCCGGGCAATTCGTTCTCCAACAGCGTGCCTTTGTTCACCTCCGTAAAGTAGGGGATGTTGTCATTCACGTCTACAACTTTAATCTTAATTACATGCTCGGCAACCAGATCATATGTGTTACGCGCTATCATTGTCAGCGTGTATTCTGTGACAGATTCATAATCGAGTATTTTGCCCAAACCGATTGTTACCGTTGTACCGGTCTGATTGAACACGAATGTCTTTTTACTATTTGTCTGTTCGGTGCGACCTGTGACCAATTCGAATATCACTTCCGGCTTGTCGGGCACATTTGAGACGGCACGTAGCGTAGCTATGGGTGTGGAATAGTTTCTGTAGTCTTCCTTTAGGTAAATCGGATCCTCGATGGGATCTACAAAGGACGGTGGTTTCTTTGATGACTCTACAACACGTATTCTCACTTCAATTTGTGATTCTTGCTTAGATTCGAGACTCATTGGGTTCGTGGGATTGTAGGCATTCACCGTAATTGTATAATATTGTCCGGGACGTTTATCGATTGGACGGTTTAGGTAAATAATACCCGCTGCTTTGTCGATTTTGAAATACAAATGATCACGAACGGGTAAGATTTCGTATTCGATAATACTATTATTGCCATCATCCAAGTCACTGGCCGAGATGCGCATTACAATTGCGTCAGGCTGCAAAATAGAGGGGGAAGAAAAAATCGATATTCAAGTAAGGCTAAATTATTGAACGAAGGCAAAGGAATTCTTATTCCTCTTTTTTTTGGAATACATATATTCATAAAAATAAGTATATAAAATTGTTTTTGAGAGGTCTCCAGACATAAATAGAAACGATTCAAATAAAATATACTATTTTAGTATTTGTAGTTTAAATAAGTGCAATTTTAGAAGATTTCCAGATATATTGTAAGTCAACTGATGAATAGCACCACGGCGGTCTCTACAATAGATTCAGGAGCTAATAAAGCTAACCGAAAGCTAACCGAAAACTAAGGGAGAGCCGTTTTGGAAATGAGCTGCTACGGCTGATTCAGGCCTAAGAGGGAAGAGAGGTGTTAGACGAATTGTGTTCAGGGAGCGTGGAAAGACATGGAAGTTATGGGACATTTGTTAGGTATGTCGACCAATAGAAGATGGCTGATTGAAACCAGATGTCATGTATCCAGACATATCTGGCCATTGCTGCTTCTAAACTGGATCTTCATAAGCATAACGACTGGTGTAATAACCGGACACTGTTTGATGGGCACTCTTGGTAGAAGAATGGGTTACATCTATAGTGAATTCTCCTGCAGAAACATAGGCGAGGATGTGTCACTAGAGCTTAAGCCTTCCTAGTGCAGTATGGATATCGCTTCTTCGGCCATTTTTCAATTCAAGTCTGGCATAACTTGCTTCGAAAACTCTGCGGGTTAGGGGTTCAAGAATTTATTCGCGGCATGCCATAAGAGGAGTCTAAAATCCAATAGCTCCCGCGACAGTTGGGTTTTTATATTCGAACGACCTAAATTTGTTATGCGGCAAAGGACTGTCACTCCCAAAAATTTCTTTGAGGAATATCGTTGCGGTTACAACAACAACAACATCTATAGGTATGATAGGTATTTATCACAAGCGGGCCAACAGGCCTATTTACGCTTTATCAGGGTTTCGAGACAACTAACTAGGTCATTATTAAGACTGGATAGGTACGTTTCGAGACAACTAACTAGATCACTATTAAGACTGGATAGGTACGAGTTTTGTCTGCTTACTACCTTAATAGGTTCAGGAATAACCACGATAGTGAAGAAACTTTGTGCGATAACAAACTCATATGGAACCTTGCGTCGCGGCTAAAAGCGGTACGATTTAAGTCTTCGCTCAAGTCTTATTGTGTCGTCTATTCACCAGTGGTTCGTTTACGTTGGGTTTGGAACGGAAGATGATAGTACTTAAACTATAGTGGCTCCTTAAGGTACAACAAATTTTGTGTTGAATTTGTGTTGGGAACACAGACACTGTCATCGAATAGTACAAATCGTTTACCCTGTTGCACGAACGAGCGACCACAATCCTTCTTTGGCATTTTGGCTGATTTACGTCTAAACCCGGACGGAAGAGAAGAATGACGTTACCAAGAAAGGAGCACTTGAAAGAACAAACGGTCGCTATTCGCGTCATATAATCAAAATCGTGGTTGTAACACCAATATGGGGAAAAAAGGAATGGAATGCCGTTTAAAATATGTTTGTTGTTGGTGACATCCTATTTTTAATGCTTGTAATCTTACAAAAAATGCCTGCTTCAAGAAGATGTCTGCAGAATAATCAACATAGGCTTCCGTCTTTGACAGACAGTAAACGTAAGGAAATTCCATCAAAAATCTACTCAAGAATAGAATGTTCGCCATAAAAGATTCCATCCACAGAACAGTACCGCTGGACAAGACGACATACCGATAGATCTTAAACGCCACCTTTATAAACCCTCCTACCGGAATCCACCACCTCACTTTATCAGACGAAGTGCTCTAGGTACCTGGCTGAACCTAAATAATACTGGCGCAATTAAAATCTGGTAGACTCAATCCTTACTTATCCAGACACCAACATACTCAGCCTATGTCCTGCATGCAGTGTGTCCCAGCATCATACTGACGACCACTTTGCATGCCCATTAAAAGCAATTAATCCAACACCCGTCTATCTCTCTCTGGTGCGAACCCGTCGAAACAGCTCGTTAGGTCGCCCCGATAACATAGACTGACTTTGTCTGCTCCTAGACGCGGGTGACTACCTTAGCAGAGTTATCGGCTGAATAAGAGGTGAAACTGTACTGGCAGCCGAAACCGACTAATAAAACAGCTACAGAAGCAGCAAACCGTCCGAGGACATAGCGCAGAAATATTGCGAAGGTTAAGACTAAGTTGAACATCGTAAATTAATGTTGTGTGCTCCGCAGTGTTTAGAGCTTAATGTTGTTGTTGTTGTTGGTTTTTGTCGTTGGTGCTGGTGTTATTATTATTATTATTATTATTATTATTATTATTATTATTATTATTATTATTATTGTTGTTGTTGTTGTTGTTGTTGTTGTTGTTGTTGTTGTTGTTGTTGTTGTTGTTGTTGTTGTTGTTTGTGTTGGTGTTGTTGGTGTTATTGTTATTGTTGTCGTTTTTGTTGTAGCCTCTACGTTAACTCCGCTCAAGCATAGCCTAAATTAATCTAAGTCACTGAGATCTTCTAACGGGAGGTCCAGGAAACGTGCTATTTCGACGGGATCAGACCAGAAGGAGAGTCGGATTAATAGTGAGCTACGGTCCGGGATCGGACCAGAGGGAGAAGGGGGTTAATAGTGAGCCGCGGTCCAGAATCCGATATCAGATGGTGTACTTTAAGATATTCAAAGTTTCCCGTGACGCAACTAAAGTTCAGCGTCTACTTGAGATGATTTCCACAATATTCATTATTTATGGGTTCCCATAAGTTGACTCTACCTTCAATAAATGTCGACAGATTTTACTTATGCTGAGTCTCAAGAGAAATCCTGTTCGATAATAAATTAGTTTATATGTCAGAGATCAAAGAAGATTTTGGTGAAGAGTAGTCTAAGAGATATCGAAGGGTTCTGTGGCAAGCAGCTTTAGAGGAACGAGTGAAAAGAACAATAGATCATACCACAAAAAGATTTGAAGAGGTGTGGCAGAATTCACAATTCCTGACTCGTATGACTTTTGACATTTCGGTAGCTCGGACATGCATTATCTACTGAATTACCGCCTGCCTAAAGCACAGGGAGAATCACACATAGTAAAATTGACAATTTGAGTACATTTCAGTATGAGTAGAAATGAAAACTTGAAGTCGTACCAACAATGCGACCTACTTATGTTGTTCATGTAACATTTTGAAGGAGTGAACGAAGGCAGAAAGATCCTGAGACTGTCTTTAAGTAAGCCGATGGAACTACCATAGGGATTCAATAATGTCTCTGCGGCAAGGCATGCCTGTCGTAAGTGGCGATCAAAAGTCACGTTAGTTGAGCTATATATACCGACTCGGGATTTCATACGGCCAATGGGAAGTACTTCTACGTTTAGAACGGGGGTTAGTTCGCCAAAATGGTTTATGAAACCCACAAGATTACAAACAGATGGCGAAATTTACATAGTTCAGCGAATTCGGAGACAGCTATAGCATGTGGTACGAATGTATGAGAACACTCCAGCTTTGAATTGAAAGCTTTCTAGGCAGTATCTGCCGGTGGAAACAAAGGATGAGGAAGAAGAAGATATTAGGTGGAGAAGGATTTGCCTGCACTAGGTATTTCCGATTGGCGCCAAACAGCGAAGAGAAGAACCGAATGGCGCGATATTGTAGATTCGGTATAATCGCGCCAGAAGAAACTACAGTTTCGAAAACTCGGAGCTTGTTATTGATTTTAGCAGCTTCCTCTTCCAACTTCGCCAAACTAGCCTCTCTCATAGCCGTAATACACAGAGACAATCATGGCCGTTGGGCGACTAAAATGTGGGTAAACGTCAATGCGTGGAAATGACTGTTGTAAGAGTGTCCCTTTCCCTTTAGTTAGGACCCGTCGATACAGCCCGTTTTCTGGACCTACCGTTAAATGATCTGAATGTCTTAGACTAGACAATACCAACAACTTTTGCGGTTACAACACAAAGACAACAAGGACATATCGGACTTAACTCGCATAAATTCACGTAATTCTCACCGAAAACGAAGTTTCCTTAAAAACCAAAACTGATTTTCGCAAAACTAATTAAATTAGCAATATGAAAAGTGAATTTCTATGTGCTTGGTTTTATATAACTACATTTTTATTTATTTACTTTCCTCCAGATCTGCCCATATCAAATAGTGCACACACATCTCGGCTTATCTGCTTATTTTCCGACAAAAATTCTCCAAAAATTTCACAAATACGTAACGAATGTTGGTAAAATATTATGAGCAAATAATTAAATAGAGCGGAAATTCGCAGTGAAAAGCGAAAAGGTACTAAACGCGAACTTAATCTATTTACGGCTGTGAGCGAGGCGAAACTGAGCTTTAACTGTGTGGCTGTGTGGCGTCTCAAAAAGGTTTCAAGGTTTTAATAGAATGTCGGTTTGCTAGCAAAGTGTTGGCTATCCGTGCATTGAACTTTAGAACTGGAATGCCTACGCGCCAACACCAAACGATACTAAAAGCGAATGTGCAACAATGTGTTTACCTCCAACGCAAAGAAGAGCCCATTGCTTGCATTCTTAGGTTACTTATGTAGGGGCATATACAGTATGTACATATACGAGTATACATGCCTATATGCATACATATGAGTGTACGTAGGGCTGTATGCATGTGCAAGTGCATATTTTTTCCGGCTGATTTGGAATACTCTCATTGGAAGGGGAGCTTTTTCTAACTAGAAAGTATTACGTATGTACATACATATGTATTATTAGCATAGGAAATTCAACAATGAATGATCTAGGGCGTACTATTAATAAAAACCAGGGAATAGCCAAGTCAATACACCCAACTCAAAGTTGGTAGAATTTTTCAAAACTAAAACAAAAGCAAAAGGTCCTCATCGATCCGAAACCTGGAAGAAAATTTACATGGATACAAATGTCATACAATTATTTTGGCGAACATTATATATATTAAATAATTGGCGTCTTGTAACCGCTGAAGCGATTTTCGGCCAAGTGGAGAGACCTACAGTTTATTCAAACCCGCCTCCGAATGCAGATTTTATTTCATGTCAGAAATACACTCGAAGAGCTTGGCATTCCCTGCCGATGAGCGGCCCAAATTATAAAAAATAATTTAATTTTCGATGTTGGTCGAACCAAGGCTCGAACCTCGGTCTTCGGAAAGGCAGAAAAAAAAAAATTATCTGACCGCTGATTGTAGAGACCTGAAACTGAGAGTTTTCTCTGAGTGTGACATAGGCATCCTTCAAAAAAAAAGGATTTTGTCTACTCTAACAGGTCGACCGGACTATAGAATGAAATTAACGCAACAAAGTACAGATATACATATCTCTCTACAACTAAAAGACGTTGTTGTTGTTGTTGTTGTTCAACAAAGTACAGATATACATATCTCTCTACAACTAAAAGACGTCGTAGTTCGTTTTCGTGTTCGCGGAACGTGGAATAAAAAAATTCCAATTTTTCTTTTCGATGTATTCACCTGCTTTCATATTGTATTTAATTTATTTATACCGTAAAAAAAAAGTCTTCTCTTTATCTACTTTTTTTAATTTTTGGAAACAGTAAATAAGCACTAAGGTCAAGATCTGAGCTGTGGGGTGGGTGATTCATAGTGTCGAAGCACACCTTATGCAGGACACCAACTCAACGGGGCACTCTCGATACCTAGCTTGCGCTGGCCTTAGCCATGGCAAGATGATCGTGCAGGATTTTTAAAATACTCCAACGGATACTCCAACTATTGTATTTCTTCGAGTTGTTTCTGCTTTAGTCGAGCAAAGTTGAGGACAATTTTTTCAACTTGTTTAAGAAGTTCTGAGGTTGTCATCTTAATACTCCTTCCCTGCTTAGATAAACTGTGCCACTTGCACAACGTAGTTTTCCCCCCGACAAATAGTCGCTGTGAACCAATGTGTAATCTCATTCATTATGAATGATTGATAAACAAGTTTATAACGACACGTTATTGGATTTTTCCATAGTTCACTTTTCACTCCGGTATGGTTGACGACAGCTTAAAAACAAAAAATATAATAACAGAGAAACTTCCTACTTATACCAATTATGAGTCAGGGAACACGATGCGATCTTAACGAGCCTAATACTCCCTCTACATCCCGCTTATATTGAGACCATAAAACGCTTCTTCAGATATTGGGGTCCAGTAAGCAAAGATCTTAATTATCCCTGTCACGGGTTGTCACTTTTTGTGTACTTAACCTTGTTTAGATCAATTGTAGGCAGCCTTTAATCTCGCATCACAAATCACATCTTCATAATTTGGGTTTTCTGCCTTAGAAAACTTTCAGTAACGAAATTGCGGAGAACTTTCAGCAAGTCGAAAGCATTTCTCAACGATTAGACGAAGTAGAGTAAGCACCAGTTCTCTAAAAAAGATCAGAAGAGAGCTTAATTTGTAAGTTGAACAAATTGCCTACAACAAGATAACCAAGCAGGTGTGATCCAGGTACAAAAGAATAAGAACGAAGAAGCTATGCATAATGTATCGAAAAGGAGCTATTGACCAACAGCTACGATAACGGATTACGAACTAAGTTGACTATACTATCCAGATCCTATTGGGCCAGTACTATTACTCGGGTTTATCGAGACAGCTTGAGCTCTTTTTCTGCAATAGGTGGTGCTTAGATTCCGAGGTCGTCATTCGCAGGAAGAGAGTTCATTAAGACACTCGCTTAAGGGCGTTTAGTGTCTGTTGGTACGCCGTCCTGCCCGGCGAGTTTTGTCTATGATGCTGTATAAAGTGGATGTAGGCTAATATGCCGAGATGGAGATTCGACTTCAAGTAAATATCTGTTTGGATGTTCCCGAAGGAAGTATTCCTTCTTGTTTCGCTGTGTGAGTGATGCGTCGGTGAGGAATATTAAGGTATATTGTGTCCGAGTGTAACGATCTTACAGTAACCAGAAGTAGGTAGTGCCTTTTTCGATTTTTTTTTCTTTAAATTTCAATTCAGTGCAGCGAGCAAATAGACTTAATTATAATATTAGTGTAAAATATTTGAAGGTTCGGTTGATTATATAAATTATACTATATATAAATGTTTGTTTTTACATAATATATACATAAATCATATTGCAGAACAAAGCATAGAAGCCAGGTTTCCCTCGATGTCATAGACAAAGGTATGGTGTTAAACTGCAGTAATCCAGGGTCCACATATTTAACACACAAAACTTTCGCCATAACAGGCAACAATGCTTCATTCTATACCTTATTTCCAAGCACATTCCTTAAACATATAAACATATGAGTTTTCGTAACTCTCATCCTTGATAACTCACCTGTTTATCTTCTGATATAGACTCATCATAACGCGCTTTGTTGAAAACCGGAGCATTGTCATTTACATCTTCAATAACTACTTTAAATGTGCATACATCGTCTAGTTGCGGATTACCATTGTCTGTCGCCTGCACTGTCACATAGACCATTTTTTCGTATGTTGGCTCATCGCGATCGAAACGATGCGTCGTTACGATTACACCCGACTTTGGATCAATATGGAATTTGGAACGTTCTGTTGCCGATTGCACGAGACTATATTTGATTTCTTGATCCGAATCGGGATCTTCCGCTTGCACCATTATAACAAAAGTATTTTCCGGCTCTTCTTCTCTAACGGACGGCTTGTAGCTAGCACACTTTTTGAACGCCGGCTTGCGGTTATCTCTATACTGTTTGGCATTTTCATGCGTTACCGCCGACGATGACGATCTACTAAAATAGATAGCCGAATTACCCGTACGCGCTGCTGGTAATGCCGAATATAGTGAACTAACCGAGTCGGGGGCAGGATTGGGTGAACGTCGTTGCCTTATAAGATTGTTCGAAACGTATGTTGAATTATGTGCATCTATTGATACATTTGTGGCGGCGGGTGTGTAAAATGCGGAGAAGGGGTCATCTCTGTGACTTTTGGCCAAAGCAGCATCGGACCCGCCTATGTAGGCGGAAACCAAAGCCACTGTATGCAAGTTGACCAATGCTAGAGCAAAGGCAATTGTGTGATATTTGTGTAATTTTCGACATAAATGCTTTCGTGGACGCTGGTAAGTTTGCCGATACTGTTGCAGGTGGTAAATTTGTGTTTCCGATTGTGATTGAAAGTGTTGTGGCGACATTTCGTTGCATTACACTCTTAGAACACGGGTACAAATGAAAAAAATGTAAAAAAATTTGTATATTTTAGATTTACTACCGTGGTTAATCCTTTGATATGTATTTGAGATTTTTTCTCCTCTCCTCTCTCGTATAGGCACACAATAATTAGATATTTTAAATTCACTGTGTATGAGTCACCCAGTATTTATTATTCATTCACCTTTCATTTCCCTGCATGATCAGCAAATGCTGTCGTTTGCACACTTGAGCACCAACGAATTTTTTCACCGCTCTACACTTCTTTCTTTTTAATTAACATTGCCTTATTATATCTGTATATTCACTTTTATCATGTTATGTACTATGCACATTTAGTACCTTTCATAATCGATGTTACTTTCGAACGGCGTTTCTTATTTTTATTTTAACTGTAGTATATATGTATATCATGTATTTGTATTTATTTATTCTCACTGCCGCTGACGTCGTTGTATATGCGCTCCAAAAGTGTTTCCAATTATGTCAGCTGCTGTTAGTTTTGTTGTAAGCGTCGGCTGCATTATCATGGAAACGGCGCTATAAACAAACAAGAAAACACAGTTGAATATAAGGCACACGGCAATTTAAGTGCACATTCATTTGAACAAATTTGTATGTAGGTATGAATATTTACATAAAGCTATGTAACTAATCTAGAGACAGATTAACTTATTATTCGAAATATCTTTGCTGTAGTTGTTATTACACTCTGCTCTTTGCTTTATAGCTATAAATTTATAAGTTCACTTTTAAAACCTTCATCGCACACGAAACAATGCACATACGTAAGTAGCATAAACTTAATAATTAAGTTATTTCCAATTGAATTTTTGTTAAACTCGTTTCGTTTATTTCGTTCTATTGCTTCCACTATCTTTCGTTTATATATAGGTATGTATAAAAAAAAACTTTGCTACACACAAATTATTTTTACTTTAAACAGGTAAATCCAGGTAGAAATAGTGGTTAGTACGTACATACACATACTGCTGGTACACACTCACACAAGCGCGCCATCGGCACACTGATGCGCTAAGCAGCGCTGCCAATAAATACCGCAACGCTTAGCTTCAACAATTGTTTTTGCTTGGAGTATCCATGTTCTCGTATTCGAACGTTGGCTCTTTGTTAACTGTATGCAAGTAGTTGTTAGCAATTCCCAACGAGTCGTAAAAGTTAAACCAATTGAGTTAAAATTTTCACAATTCGAAAGATTATATTTTCAAATTGGAATTATCCATAGAAATTATTTTACTTTTCTTTAATTTAAATTTAATTTTAATTTCACTCAACAAATTAATATACTTAATTAATTCAATTTTCACATATACAAATTTGCCAATTGAACTTCACTCAATTTCCGGTTTCTAGGCAGTGGTATATCTGCTACCTTTTCACAAAGCACCTTTAATTGATGTTGGTTGTATTACAAATCACTGCAATTTCAAATATTAATTGTATTTGCATACCTTCAACGACTTATTTTGTTGTAAAATTCAAAATAATTTGAATCTTTCAACGAAAATAATTACACAAACAACAAACGCAACACTAAAAACGAAAGCGCAACAACACGCAACAATACCGACACTACCAACACAACCGATCTCAACGCTCGTCCAGCAACAAATGAACTTTTACCAACAAATTTCATGTATTCGCCGATACAATGATGTCAACTTCATTGGAGTGTGTACTTTGGGTAGTTTATGACTTTCTATAAAAATAACAGAACTTGACCGTGACCATACAATTACAACTGTTCCTGTATCGCATTAAGGATTGGTTGAAAAACTAGTATACTTAAAGTTAAATTAAAATAAATAAATTAAATGTTTTTATAAAATAATGAAAACTGTTCAAAAGAAATGTTAGCATCCCTGTATATTAAATGTTTGACGTTTGTAAATGTTGCTGCAATATATTACAGTTTACTATCAATAGAGGACGCGCTTGACATATTTGGTGAAAATCCAAATTAGGACTATACCAGATTTTACTATAGGCACAAGGTCAATTCATGAAAAAATTTATTTAATCTCACGATTAATTCTTAAATTTACTTATTTTACAAAAATTTATATGGCATTTACAAGAGAATTTCGTTGGTTTCCCTACCTTTTTTGGACTTTTCATGTTAATTGACTTTAACACTTTAAAGAATATATATATATTATTTTACATATATATTATTATATATTATATATTATTTTACAAATAGATTCTAGGCCACCTGAAATTAATTTCCATTAGGCAAAAAATTAAAGGAGGAGCTCGGCCGAAAATCACTTCAGCGGTTATAAAGCGCCAATTATATATATAAATATATATGCTTATATATGGTTTACTTTTCTTTATTTTTTGTTTGCAATAAATTGTTTTACATAAATTAATTTAATTTTTAATTAACTTAACGAAGACTAATTTTTTTTAAATAAATGAAGCCAAAACAAAGTAATTGTTTTTTAAACAATTGTTTTGTATCATGGTTCTAATAAAATTTTTTTATCATGGATCTAATAAAATGTAGTTTAGAAAATGGAAAAACCAAATAGACCAACCTTCGACTTCTTTATACTTCCGCAATTCTTTTATGTATAAAAAAAAATTGCTAAAAATATATGAAAAAAGTAAAATGTTTATAAATAATACAAAAAAATATTAAAAATTAAAAAATTATTAAAATTTACAATTGGGAGAGGAAAAGATTAATATAGCAGTAAGTTTGTTTAATTCTTTCTTTTCTTGGTACTACTGAAATGAAAATTTGTTTTATAATTTGACTTTTTTTGACAATAATTTGTTTGTAAATTAAACTTTTGGAAAAAATATTTGATATTAGGAATTAAATAGGAATATCGATTTTTCCTAGGTAAATTCACCTTGATACTTTTCTAAACGATTATGTTTCTGTCACCACTAACATATTCATGAATTCACCTTGAATTTGCTTTGATTTTTTACGGTTCTTAATTTGGTTTTGTGGTTGGTTTTAAGTAAATATTGTTGCTGGAAAGGCGGAAATATGTCGGAAACTAGTGGACGTGTTTTAACTGAAGCCGAAAAGGCTCGCATGGAGCGCAATCGTATAAAGGCTTTACATCTGAGACAAGCAAAATTGGTTGCACATCCTTATCAAAAAAAGTGAGTATGTGCATCTAAAGCAAATTTGAGTTTGTATACATTCATACATTCTTGTGAAATACAATTATAGGAATGTAAATGCAATTGCCGGTGAAGACTCAATTATAAAAGTGCAAGGTACTAAATATATTGATAGTGGTGGTGGCTTCCTCTTAGAACAACCTGTTATTTCCACTCCGTCGTTACAATCAGTCTCTAAAGAGATTGAATCGGGCGCCCCCAGCACAGACATCGTTCAAGTATCTAATGATGCCATTACTATACCGGTAAATTTTGAAGAATGTCTGGATTGTGGAGATGCATTTGTCGAATCATACCTCTTCAGTAATTTCGGTTATGCTGTGTGTGATAAATGCCGTGACCCAGACGATCGTCATGCATTGATTACACGCACGGAGGCGAAAGCAGAGTATTTGTTGAAAGATTGTGATTTTGACAGTAGAGAACCGCCACTTCGCTATATCAGCCGCAAGAATCCACATAATGTACGCTGGGGTGAAATGAAGCTTTATCTCCTAATGCAAGTGGAACAACGCGCTATGGAAGTATGGGGCAGTGAGGAGGAATTGAGTCGCCAACATGAATTACGTGAAGAAAAGCGTGAAGTGACCAAAGTTAAAAAATATAACAAACATATGAAGCAATTACGTATGGAAATGCGAAGTAGTTTATTTACAAAGGAGACAAAATCTACACACGTGCATGAATTTGGTCCTGACACATACAATGAAGATGACGACAATTACACACACGCATGCACAACCTGCAATTATACAGAAACCTACGAAAAAATGTGAAGTAAAATTCAGTATGCCTGTAGTGCTGGACATTTTCTAGAGCTGATTTATTTATCAAATTAAAAACATTTATTATTATTTTACACAACCAGTTTTATAGAGAACATAACATCGAAATATCGCTAATGCCATGAGTTCAAAATATTACCATTGTACTGCTACTATATTAATGAACTAGATCTACTGAACTCTTTTGTAATTTGAACTTAGTTTATGATGATTTGTAAGGTTAATTATAAGATACATATGTCAAACATTGTTATAAGAATTAGCTATAGATTTTAATAACACAATTAACTCCGCCAAAGCCGGTCCCCAGCCCGTGTTGCAAAAGGAGGAGGGCTGGACAGCTGCCCCGAATGACTTAAAACACACCTAGGGGAAGTAGGAGGGCCGAAAGGAAATAGTCCCCTCTGAAAAGCCGTTAACCTTGGCAGTAAGGTTAAAATGCAAAAAAAAGTAATATACATACAACTATGAGCGAAGGTAATAACGTAAAGATTATTACTCCAGGTGGAACCCACGACCGTGGAAAACCACTCGCAGCTTCGGCTGCGGCAGGGGCATGGATTCTGGAGGCCCCAACCCCGCTCAAAGATGAGCCATTTGGCTTCACAAATTTTTTTAAAACTCAATCGGGTGAAGTTTTCACAAGTCGAAAACCACACAAGCGCTCAGGAGCCGCTAGACGCGCAGCACGCAAACAGCGGCTACTGGCTGCCGAAAACAGTATATATGGCAGTGAGTATAACCATATTTCGCATCATTTAAGGCGAAAAGAACGTGACTTCGCTTATCCTTTTGCGGTGCCCAATTATAAACCAGCAGTGCCAAGAACTAAAAATAGGAGCATGGGCGATATTAGTAGAGTAGAGAAAGACTCCAAGACTTATGTTCAAGACAGCTTTGAAGAGAAATATACTAATACATCGAATAAGGAGCTAATGGGTTTGCGAAACTTTTATAAAATGCAAGTGAGCCCTGGTAAAAGGGAAAATAAACGAACCGATGCCGCCAGACACATTTCGGGCGAATACCAACCACTGGCGATCGAAACTAATTCAATAACTTGTGTTGCTACGCAAAGATGCATATCAGAGGATATACAGTTCTCAAAAAGTCACGATTACCCTTATAATGCACCTGTTTCCTCAGGGACTAAAAGGAGGAGCGGCGAGTCGACTCGTTCATGCAACTATGCCATTGTCGATGCAGGAAGACCAGCAGGAATCATGACGGCCGAACAGCAGAACTTATTGGAAAAAGCATTTAGTGATGCTCTTATGAACCTGATCCTGACATCAACTTCGGACAAATCGATTTTCAAAATTGACATGGGTCGTTTCGAAAATGGTGTTTTCCGGTTAGCGATTAACTCCAAAGAAGATTTTGGGGCTATTCAATTGTTGGTAGAGAGTCTACCGGAACTGTGGAATAATTCTACGCTCCGACTGGTGCCTAGCGAGTATTCCCCCAAGCTCTTTAAGGCGCATGTTTTCATAAGAGGAAGATTGACTGCGATAGCCTCAGAGTCGATCCTAAAAATGCTAGCCAAACAAAACATTGAGTTGAAGACTGATCTTTGGGAAGTCTTCCACCGTGAAAGTACTCGGCAAGGAGATGTTATAGCATTTGGCATCGACGAAGATTCATACTCATTCCTTGAATCGGTGAGTGGGAAAGCTCATCTACTCTTCTCTATTGTTCATTTCAAACTTGGACAGCGACACTTTGCGACGGAACCTCCAGAGGGTTGTTCCACCAATGAGATAGTCACTGATATTACAAGTGTAGTAGATCAGGCGACATCTCCTCTGGGTAAAATTTATGTTGACGAACCCTGGAGCACTCAATCCACAATGACATGGAAAAGAAGATGTCAGCTTTCGCCTCCGATAGCGGGCTCTTCGGGACACTTTGGTGATACCGATGCAACAACATCAGAAGAAACGAATTATCAAGACGAATTGCTCTTTCACAGAAGGAGCAGCGTGCCGAATAACTCGAGTTAATCACACAGATTAACAACTCCCTCAAGACATTAAGCGTTCAGAAAATGAATGTTCGTTAAAGTGATTGTAAGTTCTTTTTAAACTTTTTATTTCTACTTCAAGTTTTATCAGGGAACTTCAACAATTGAATATAACCTGTATTATCTGTGTTTCAGCAGGTACGTTAGCTGAAAAAGTCTAAGAGGCGGAAATACGCAAGCAAAACTATTTTTGGTGATACCCTTGGCGACCTTCAACGGAAATACCTTTTCAGAAGTGTAGCGAAGTTTTTGGAAAATCTCAGCATAAAAGAAACGATATGCTATACCATTTCTCTTTAAAAAGCGAATTTTATTGAATACTATTTTAAAATATATGTACGCATGTGCAATGTTTCTGACAGTGAACTTAACTGCCTTTTTATTGCTTAATATGTTTATATAAACAGGGCACACTCTGCTCCAGATCTCCCTCCTAAGTAAATGATACCAAGGAAGGTTTAAGCAGGCGGAAGTAGATATCGAAAATAAATCAAATACTGTAACTAGTAAGATTTTGCTTGCCGGACGAGGAATTTTATCTTTTTAAACTCAATGTTAAATGTGTATGTATATCTTGTGGATGGTTTAATGGTTTCAAGTTCTATTACAATTACATTTTTGCTACTTCGGGAACAGATGATAAGGTATTAGTGATGAGGACGACATCTTTAGTCAGAATAACTGATTTCTAAACAATTTTTTTCTTCACAGTGTATGGAACTAACAATTTAATGTTTAAAAACTTTTTTTTTTTAATTTCTTTAGTTCAGAAGTTAAAATAATAATAAATTTCATTACTACATTCAATTAACATTTCTGAAAAAAACTTTCTTTGTTTATGCCAGAACTACACACAACTACATATCTGTCCTGCTCTCACTAGACTTCTCGTTATTTTCCGTTCTCTGTCACTGATTCATAAACGTCAAATCTATTACAGGGTTTTTTGTGGAGCAATAAATTTGTGCATTTTTCTCTTGCTAGTGTAATTTTGCAATTTTTCGAGTTATAATAGGAATATATTACATTTTTATTATTTAAATCATAAACATTTGTCTCATAGTAAGTGTTTGGTATTAGTTGAAATACAAATACAAATATTTCAGAGGGTTTTTCTTGCATTGCAGTATCAATAACCTGTATGTGTGTACGTGTAGTTGTATTTGAAGAAATCAAATAGGAACGCTTGAGTCACAACAGAAGTGGCCAACCAAACCATAAGCCTCGCATTTAATATTTAAAAAAAAAAAACTAGTAATATATATCAATTGGCAAAATGGAGCAATCACAAATTAGCGACGCCGAGAAAGTACGTATTGTTTCGGACTTTATTATGCATGCACCACCTGGAGAATTCAATGAAGTATTCACCGATGTTCGTCAATTGCTCAATAATGATGCACTACTGAAAGAGGGTGCTAGTCACGCTTTCGCATTGTACAATAAAGAGCAATTAACGCCAGTGCACATTGAGGGCAGTGAAAACAATGCTATCATATCCGAGCATAATGATTTGGGTAAGTGTGGAACTTGAAAAGTTGGCTCTCGTGAAAGATTATGTGTTGATTTATATTTATGTGTATACTAATTAAGTTATAATAACAATACTAACGCAACATAGCTGTATAATGTTGAGTCATAGCCATCTTAAAATATTTTAATTTATCAATGTTCCTTATTTGGTTGCATGCAAAAATTATTTAAAATTGTTATCTCTAAAGCTAAGTGCAAAGCGATATCTTTGTGTGATAAATTACAGAATTAGTATTGATAGGTAATTTCCTTCTACGTATGTATTTAGGTAACGATTCAAATTTAATTTTTTTAATATAACTATAAAATGTTACATATATTCGTACATACATAAAGTTTCTGTTAGGATAATTCCATATTATATATATGTATAAAAATTTTTTTAATCTTGAATTCAAAATAAATTTTATAGGCAATGGTCGCTTTTACGATCCACGTACCAAACAATCCTTTAAGTTCGATCATCTTCGAAAGGAAGCTACTGACTACCAGGATATGGAACCGGATACAACGGCTGAACCTTGGCGTGCCGCACTCGATATAGAAGCTATTAACTACACCAACAGTCATTACCGCAATGGTGTATGTATTATTGTATTGTAATTAAATTAATAACATTTAAAATAAAAATACGTTTCAATAGGTGTCATCGGTATTCGGTAAGACACAAGGGGGACAAGTAACTCTTACACTTTGTATTGAAGATCATCAATTTCAACCCAAAAACTATTGGAATGGTCGATGGCGATCACAGTGGAGTATCACATTGCAACCCGGAAACGGCAGTGCTGAACTAAAAGGGGTGCTTAAGTTACAGGTCAGTTGTAAAAACAAAGAAAAACAGTATTACATATATATTTGTACATTTTCACATATATGTAAGTATGCCTGAAAATGACCTCTAATATGAATATGTTTGACTGCAGGTGCATTATTACGAAGATGGAAATGTGCAATTGGTTTCAACCAAGGAATTCCGTGAATCTGTGGTTGTATCCAACGAACAACAAGTAGCAAAAGAAGTCATACGTTTAATTGAAGAAGCTGAAAATGAATATCAATTGGCAATTTCTGAAAATTATCAAACAATGTCGGACACGACTTTTAAAGCAATGCGTAGGCTTTTGCCAATTACAAGAACTAAAATCGATTGGGGCAAAATAGTAACGTATAGTATTGGTAAAGAATTGAAAACGCAATAAGATCCGGTAGATTATAAGGCGTCTTTGAAGTCGGAGAAAACTTTGGTAGAAGCTGTAACAAAACATTTGAAATATAAAATTTCGGAAAGACCTACCAGTCTTCCGCTAGCTGTCAAACATAATTAAATCCAAAATATGAAAATGTGTCGAAGTCCGAAATTGCAGTTATGCAAAATACTAATTTTCTTTTGACCATCTTTACATCGAATATGCACTTGTGGTAAATGAAACTTCATTTAAACTTATTACGGTTCATTGAAAATCCATATTTTTATAATTGCAATTTGGAATCCACACACATCATTCATTTAAAACATACAAGTCATATGCCTTTTATAAGCCGCAGGAGCTTATATACGCATATACTTATTATAATGGTGGTTATCGCTGTGAATTTAGCAGTAGAGTGCTACATTTCGCAGCAATGTCATCACCATTGTCGCCTTTATCGTTGAATGCAGAAATCGTGGAAGTAATATATAATAAGATACTAAAATAGATGAAGAGAGTTTTAATAAAGTTAATTTAAAACACAAGAAACTATGCAATTTTTTAAATTCTGCCACAGCATACTACGTACATATTCGGTTCTCTGTAATTATTGTTTTAACTTATTTGCAACGTTTGATTATAAAAAAAAAAAACACGTATATAATTTCAGTGTTGTTTTTTTTTTTTAGACTCGTCAAAGTAAAACTTTTACATATATTATTATTATTATTATTTTCTTTGATAATTTGATTTCGTTAAAAATATATACATAAAAAGAACAGAGTATAATGATTATTATATGTATGCATGTAGCTATACAATTCAAAACGATCAATTAACCATAATGTAACGTATTAAGTGCGAGTGCATCTATGATATTACCAGAGTTTGTTGTTCTTAAAATTTGAGCATACATAAATATATAACATTGTAAATTTGCGATGCTAAATTATGTTTTTGTATAATATAAAAAGAAATATCTCAATAAACTTCAACAAAACGCTTTATTAAACATTTAATATAAATTAACATGTTTCCAATTTTTTTTGACAATTTTCTATCTTTCTATTTACCATGTGCTGTTGAAATTTCAACTTAATATGTCATAGTATGATAAAAAACTGTATCCAAACTTCTACGAGGTTGTTTTCAATTTTTTCATTCATAATCAGTCTTGCTTAAATTAATTACTACTTGTTTTTGTAGCTGTTTCTGTAGATTCGTTTTTCTTTATCAGAAAACGTTTCTCTGGTTGTGAGCGCACCTCTAATTCTAAACGATCCACTAACCAACCGGTCTCAGGTGCTCTGGTCGCCCAAAAATACATTTTACCTGGTAAAAATTGTTATTAGATTTGTTTTTTTTTCAACTGATGTTTCGTACCTCTATCATTGGAACCTTTTACATGTACCTCGAATTGTGCATTTTGGCCATCAGAAAAATTCTTGCTGTCGCTCAAATCGAATCCGAGCTCCTTAATTGGTTCGCCCAACAATCTTGAAGCGCCTACAATCATTTAATGTTTATTTGTTTCTTTCTAAAATAGCATACATTAAAGCATACCCCGATGTTGCCTCAACGTCTTCACCGCCAACCGGAAATATTCCGAGTTTCTTATACCATCTTCTATTTTATAACGCATGTACATTACAGCCGTAATTGAAGCGAATGCTCCATAGACAGCAATTTTCGCGAGTGTTTTATTTGAGGGGAAACGCATACTTATTAAATAAAGTTTAATTTATTTTATAAAACTCATTCAGTTTGTTATTAAACGGATTTGAACATTTTTTATGTAAAATGTTATCACTTTTTAGCTTATTTATGAAACCATCTGTGCGCTGGAGTTGCCATTACATCAGTCAAAGAATATCAAATTTATGTATGTGAGTATCTACATTTGTTGTGAATTTCTTCTGAAATATACAAATAACACGTAAATTTAAAACAAAGTTATTTTACTTCATCTGGAAAAATTGAATTTTGTTTTTTAGTTTATTGTAAAAAAGTATTTTCCCTACGTTTTCCGCACTTGTGCGCTTGGCTTTTCAATAAGCAATAAAGCTGTTGGCAATACTGTAACTAATAACAGCTGATTTATATTTAAGGTTATACAATTCCAAATAATCAAGTGTAAATTTTGGTTAAGTGCTGCCGCATAAAATTATTTTGCATTTGATCAAATAGCATAGTTCAAAATGATCACCAATATTTTTACAAAATCGTTCAATACAATTCGTCAAAGCATATTATCGCCGACAGTTTTATCGCGAACCTATGCAAAAGCGCCTGCCACAGGTAATATTGAAAATCGTGTGTTATGAATTTGTTACACATTAATAATCCTTCATTATTCAGCTGCACTCGGTGGAAAAAAGAAGAAGCTTGGAAAACTTGGACCAGTGGTGGAAAAGAAAGAAATCCCTGTTGAAACTGACGCCAATAAATTAGTTAACTATGTATGCGGTAGCAACATTTTGAAAACTGGTCAGGATATTAAGGTGAATAATGATTGTTGACTACTGCTTTTCATATTACACTTATAAAACTAATTTCTACTGATAGCTTAAGCCAGATTCAGAATATCCCGATTGGCTATGGTCACTCAATGTTGATCGTATTATTCCTGTGGAGGAAATGGATCCAAACACAAAACAATATTGGCGACGTTTGCGTAAACAGGGTCTTCGGCGAAATAATCAATTAAATAGATTAAAAAAATTTTAGATTTTATTAAATTAAATATTGTTTTGTTATACAAAATTTGGAGCGATAGTAAAGTAAAGAATATAACAAAAAATGTAATTTTCTTTAGAAATATCATACATCAGTCTTTCGCTCTTTAGTCGTCCGAAATGTGCAACTAGTTGAGGGAACCAGTTCAAAAATCAATAAATGTAGTCATATTCATACATTTTTAAGCAAATTTTGTCTTTTTAAACCAACTTTTCATAATACGACTTGTAATTAAATTTTAAATAAAACTAAAATTTGTATGTATGTATATATACATATATAATTTTATTAAAAATAAGTTTAATGCATATTAATTTTTACAACTAATAAACCTAATTTAGATATTTCCACATGCCTTACTACTTCAGTTCGACCAAGTAATGCCAGTTGCTGTAGGCTAAACAAAAGTTTATAAATGTTAGATACATCTGTTCAAGTGTTAAAAATTATGAATTTACATTTCATTTGCTTTAATATGGTGCAAGAAAGCCACGTAATGGCATACCTTTCGTAATGCAATCATATATCTTACAAATAAATTCGCCATCTTTTTTTATGGAAAACCAAAGTTTTCCCATTAAAATTCTCCCGTCGCCTTTCAGTTGGCACATTTTAAAATATTTAAATATACATTTTTTTATTTGGTTAATTTGCTTGTTTGGAAGTACGCGCTGAAATTTGAAATTGTACACCGAATATCCGTTGGAATGTAGGCAATACCATTAAATTTAATAGTAGTTCAAAACACTGCACCACACACCACAAGTTTTAGTTTTACTCATCGTTCGCAACATGCGACTTAACCAATTAATATTTGTTATGCTGTGCCAACAACTGCATATCCGTAAGATATTTAATAATGTGCACCTTTGCCTCGGCCTTCTGTCGTACACCGAGTGTGTTAAGCATATCAGTGACGACCATACCAAACGACTGATCCTCAGCGCTTACAGCTTGTGTCATGGAATTTTGGAAAATCTTAATGGTGTTTAGCATATTATCGTGATTATCTTCTTCGGTACGTTCACGTTTCAATGCTGGTTCATAAAAGTATGGCTTCTGATCCTTGGTGGCGGCAGCTAACTGAGTATCACCCGTAACTGTAATTTCTAAACGTGAACCTGAGTGTATAGTTAATGCAAAAACCAAGTTTTCAGAATTTTATAAAAAAAATTAAAATTTTGAAAACAATAAGCAATACAACGTAGCATATTTAGTGTCAATGTATTTATTATGTTGCTTATTGTTAAGGATTAAGAGTTTACTATCGTCGAATACATACCATGCGGATGTGCTAGTGCTTGAGTCGATGTTGTGGCAGTGCCATTAAATGGTTGTGCGAATACATCCACGACAGCTTGTTGCTGAGGTTGTTGTTGCTGCTGCTGCTGTTGTTGTTGCTGCTGATTTGGATCAACTTGTGCTAACTGATTGGTGGCTTGTTGAACATTATTACATTTGCCCAAGAGAGACTCCCGATATTGCCTGTAATAATTAATAGAAAATTTTAAATTTAAAATCGCAAGTATGGCGATATACTACTTACCTTATAGAATCTACCAAAAATTGCATTTGCTTGAAGTAGCGCCATCTCGACTCTTGGCACAATTTCATTTCGCGTGCAAATTTATCACGCAAACTCTTCCAGCGTTTTGTACATTTTTGTTCTGAAGGTAAAATAAGAAATAAAATTGTAATTGATTAATTGGATTTCATTAAAAAACACAAATCGTTTCGAACTTTTATTAGTAATAAAAATTATAAATACTTTTGTAAAAGTTTGCTTTTATCTTTAAATTTTCGCATTTCACCGGGAATGAGATTGTCCGTACAGAGTAGAATTGAAATGCACAGAAAAGCAAACACACTATTTGTAAACAAAATAAAATCTACCCGACACCCAAATCCGACCGCAGATGTAAATCGAGTACGTGATGAGCGGCTATTTCACATTGTCGCTGCCGCACTTTGCGTAGACGTGCAACTCTGCAGTGCTGCTTTGTGGTTGCCGCTAGCCCCCCCAAACACGGCTGCACTACGGTGATATGCCCAGCACAAAAATATACGCCACATCACTAGTATATTTATTTCATTCACACACACACACTCCCCCTCATGGTGAAGAAGCTTAAAGTCGTCTCACACATGCAGCGCAGATAGCCAGCAGGATGGCGACTCAGCAACAAAGTACAGCAACGCAAGCAGTAACCAACGGCGACATTTGCAACGAAGGCGAAATTAATAATAAAAAAAAAGATACGAAACGCGGTTGCCTTCGTCTGCTTCGAACGATAGCCGAACAGCAGCAGCTATACACAAATGTATACGCATGTATGTACTTTTACACATGCATTAAAGCCCGACGATGGCACCTATTTTTATTTTAACCCGTCGCCATACCTAATCCATAAATACATGAATTTTGTATGAATGCTTGGCTTTTAGAAAGAAAATTAGAAAATATATTGACTATATCAATTAAGCAATTCAAATATGTGAGTACATACATATGCATGTACACAGAAACAGCATTTCAGCGGTGTTTGATAATTTTTTTTTCGAAGCCCGAATTTTATGCATTCGTCTCTGCTGCTATTGTTGGAAAAATTTAATATTAAATATGCAGACATGTGCATTTGTACTTACCAGGCACTCCAAGTAGCTCTGCGATACTTTTCCATGTTTGCGCCTTCTTTACAAAATGTTTGTAATTATAATGTGAACGATCGTATATAACTGGATTTTGTTTCACGGCCTCAATGAGACTTAGATCGAATTGAGTCTCCAAATTTGCATCCAATTTCTCCATGTTTAGTTAAAAAAAAAAATTCAAACAAATTTTCACAGTATGAAATTTACCGCTAAATTGCACTTGCACGTTTATTATGCTGCTTCTGTCCACTGAGACGCCTACAGAACTCCGACAGTAATTTATGCACTTGGATTTGGCAGAAAAAAGATCATTAGGTTCCTATAAGAGTCGACAGTCGCTGCGACAATCAATTGTTCTTTTTCTTTTTTGTTTTTTTTTTTTTTTTTGTCTTGCGAATAAAAGCAGAGAAATCTTCTTCGTCGATGTTTGTGTAACCACTAGAAATTACGAACTGCGAAGCGGCGCATACGAAATGAAAAACTACTGCGGACAGAGATAGCCGATGCTTGTGCTGATGACGATGGCGATAGCCGAAAAGTCAGCGAAAACCTCGACTTCGGCTGTACAATGCGCAGCGCTGTAGCAGAGATGCCACAGAATCGGTGTGGGCAGCATAAGTTTTGACGCTACCAGATGTAGCTGGTTTGTTAAACGTTAAAGATAGTAGAAAATAGTTTTTAACATCACTCACAACGTGAATAGCAATGAGACATAAATGTTTGTTCTCCAAGCGTGTAATACTTCTCAGCGGTTAAGCATTATTATAGCTAAAAAATTTTGAGTCGAAAAGTATGGCCTAATAGGTATCTACTGCATGTAGTTGGCAATGCAACAATTTTAAATCAACAAAGGAATTTTTTTCTATCTGGCAAAATTTGCTTTTGTTGTCATTTTAACTGTCAGCTGCTGTTCGCGTTAGAAGTGGATATATTTACTTTAATTCATTGTTATTTAGCAAATACCTGAAAAGTGTGAAACATGAAGTGATCAATCTAAGATAAATTCATAAAGTAATATTGGATTTTCAAAGGATATTTTCTGAAAGCGGTACAGCAGGTAAGAACCAATTCATTTGAGTTGCTATGATTTGTTAACAAGTGATAATGGTTGTGGGAGTATGTAATATGATAGGCACAGTTTAAATACACAAATATTTGTTATTATAAAATAATAACACTGCCAACGAAGCATAAATTTTATTATATATTGACATGTGAAGCGTGAATCATGTAGAATTCATAAATAATAAATAAATTGTGTTCTACTATAATAAATGATGATAAAATTTCTCAAGCCAAAATAAATATGTGCATATGCACATACATATTTGTAAACTTGGATTTGTGTGAAGTTGTAAATTTATGAACAACGCAAAACGACAATTCATAGATATGCATTAATGAAGTGCAGTCATATAGCTAAATTAGCGCTAAACAATTCTTCAACTTCATATATTTTGACTTCATTTTTTTGTTCCGTAAATTATTGTCACAGTATAAGCTTTTGTCCCTTAATGATATTATAAATAAAATTAATCAATTTACAGCATTAAATCCATTATTTGTGAGGCTATTAAAAAGAATCTGTGTTGAGTGAGCAGATTTGTTTGTGTAATAAATATGTGCATGCATACATACATTTGTGTACATATTATCCAACTATTGTATAGCTAGCTATGTACATAATCTTAGTCATAAGCTACAACTTCCTTTTTAGCTTTTGTACTTAGTGCGATAACGCTAGTAAATAAACACATGCATACAAGTATATGTCACATGTGTGTGTAAATAAGTGTTTATATTTCTTCGACTGATAAACTTGTTGTTTAGTTATTAAGATAAAAATGTCTTACTTCTTCTCTCTTCTTTTGGGTTTTTTTTTTTGTACAGTCAAGGCCGCGAGTGGTATCTTAAGTTTTGAAACGGAAATTTTATGCACCACCACTATCATCATCGCAAACATATAAACATGTATGATATTCCATTGGGAGTCTGGGCTGCACAGAAGCTAAGCTTAGTTTGTTGTCCACGATTACAAGTGCGGAAGGACATTATGTAAGTAATTGCAAGCAAAATTCGCGCGATTGTTTAATATGGAGGAATAATTGTATTTCAAATATTATATGTACATAAATATTTCTGTTTCAGTTTTAAGGCATCGACCATAATACTTACTTATTTAGCATATGCTGCATATCATATGTCCAGAAAACCAATATCAGTAGTAAAATCAGTATTACATGAGAACTGCACAAATCCAAAGAACACCACCGATAATGACTGTGGCTACCCACCTTTTGGTAAGCATAAAATAAATACATACATACTTAAATACCTATCAATTATTTCTCATCCAATGACAGATGTACCCGATGCATCCACATTGTTTGGCACACTGGACTCGGCGTTTCTTGTCACATATGCCATATCGATGTTTGTCTCCGGCATTGTTGCCGAACGTGTTTCGTTGCGTTATTTCCTTAGTTTAGGCATGTTATTTTCCGGTTTATTTACACTGCTCTTTGGTGCTGCGAAATCATGGAATATACATACAATGTGGTATTTCGTAATTGTTCAAGTACTCGGTGGTATTGTACAAACCACCGGTTGGCCAGGTGTGGTCACATTGATGGCACGTTGGTTTGATAGATCAAAACGTGGTTTAATATTCGGTATTTGGAATAGTCACACATCCGTTGGCAATATACTTGGTACACTGATAGCTGCACACTTTGTAGAGAGTAATTGGATGTTGTCATTTGCTGTGCCCGGCGCTATTATGGCCGCTTTGGGTTTTGTTATGTTTTTATTTATTGTTGATGATCCAGAAATGGTTGGCTTGCATTCAACACACAGTCATTTGCCTGTGCCGCATAGCAGTCTGCATGAAGATGAGGAACGTGCACAGGCTGTTGATAATTATGATGCGGTGAGTTTTCTTTTCGTTTAAAATTTCTTGTTAAAAAAAGTTAGAGGCAAAAAATTAAATGATTTGAATGGTATAATAATAATTTATGCCCGATAAATAATAGGAATTTTTTGAAGCAAAATGTATCGGCTGAGTGCATAAGTTCGTGCCCAGTTTCAAGTGCAAACTAAAATTGAAATTTTTTGAAGAAAACGCTTTAATTAATCAATTATGGATTCGCCATCAATTATCTATTCCGTCGAAACACGTGAGTTATTCGCAACTAAAGTCCTTAGAACATCGTCATCAAGCTCAGAAGGCCGTCCACTGCGAGGTTGATCTTCGAGGTTAAAATCTCCAGAACGAAATTTCGCGAACCATTTCTTTACTGTGTGGAGTGCTGGAGCACGGTCCAAATAAACTTCGCGAATATCTTTAGTTGCAGCGTCTACTGTTTTTCCCTTGCGGAATTCGTATAACATAATATGAAGCATATGATCTTTTTCGTTGTCCATCATCCATGCGTCTTTTCACTAAGCAACTCAAATCAAAATGAAGTCATTTTATGCTTGATTTACAGTTCGGACTGTCACCTTTCTAACGATATATAATATGTATATATTTCTTTCACGAGCGCCACTCTCAAACGATTTGAACGGCATCCAGCGGAATCGGACACAACGAACATCAATAGTTATATAGGATGCTTTTGTTTGTGCATAAATACACATACATACGTTTCCGTAGTTAGACAAAAAAAAATATTGCAAAATAATTAAAGTAGCACAGTTATATACGTATGTTAACAAAAAAAAAAAAAAACGAAAGTAAACTATTATGAAGACTTATTAATTGTATAGCTTGGTATTTCTGGTACAATTATAACAAATGATAAAAGTTGCGTTCCCAAATAATCCATTTTAAAAATGAATGAGCTTTCAACTAAAAAATTCGAAAATCAGTTTTTTTTTTCATTTTCTTTGAAAAAAAAGAATTACTTAAAAATACACATTAGAATATACCATTTAGCTCTGCAAAAATCTAGTATTTATTTGCATTAGTAATTATTTCAAAATAGTTCAAGCTTAGAAAACATTTACATATATTGAGTATTATTTTCTTAAATTACTAATTTCTTTCATCGCAGAACATTGGTATTCATGGCTATACAGACGATTATACAGTAAGTGCATGCTTCGTTTATACAAGCCTACTAGATATACATACATACTAGATTCAAAACTTTCTACTTAACGCATTTCATTTAAATAAGAATATATTTACATACTCTGTATTTAGAAAATTAGCCAACCAACTTAATTTATCATTTAACCCAATATTTTTTTCTTTACTAAAATATTTTTATGATTATTATTTTTTTTTGTGAAAAAACTACTAATAATTTTCTACTTTGGAAAATTTTAACTTTCAATTTTAAATTTGCTTTCTTAAGGAAATAAATCATCGTGCATCTGAGCGTACCCCAATATTGGCACGTAGCAGATCGCAAACAAACGCACAAACTGAACGTAATGCAGTTGGCATCTTGCAAGCTCTATCCATACCAGGTGTTGTAGAGTTCTCCTTGTGTTTGTTCTTTGCCAAACTTGTCAGCTATACATTCCTCTATTGGCTGCCTCTATATATACAGTCTTCCAGTAAGTAAACTGAAATTGTTCACATACATATGTATGTATGTATATAAATAAATGTATTTATTATATCTAAATTTTTTTCTTAATGCAGCTACTTTAAGTCCTAGCGTTGCTGCCGATCTCTCAACACTTTTCGATATTGGCGGCATTTTTGGTGCCATTGCAGCCGGTACTGTATCGGATTATTCGGGCATGCCGGCTACCACTTGCCTTGTGCTATTAGTTTGTGCAGCGCCATTGGTAAGTAATAGAAAAAAATAATAAAAAAAAGCTTATAAAAAAACTAATAAAAAAAAGCTTATAAAAAAACTAATAAAAAAAAGCTTATAAAAAAATTAATAAAAAAAATGTTATTAAAAAATTAATAAAAGAAATTATAAAAAAAATAATAAATTTAAAAAAAATATTCATTTAAAAAAAAAAAATTAAATTAAAAAAAAAATAAAAAAAAAAGCTTATAAGAAAATTAATAAAAAAAAGGTTATAAAAAAATTAATAAAATAAATTATAAAAAAAAAAATAAATTTAAAAAAAATTAAATTTAAAAAAAAATATTAAATTTAAAAAAAAAATATTAAATTTAAAAAAAAAAATAAAAAAAATTAATAATAAAATTAATAAAAAAAAGGTTATAAAAGAATTAATAAAAGAAATTATAAAAAAAATAATAAATTAAAAAAAATATTAAATTTAAAAAAAAATATTAAATTTAAAAAAAAAAATAATAAATTAAAAAAAATAAAAAAAAAATTCATAATAAAATTAATAAAAAAAGGCTATAAAAAATTAATAAAAAAGGTTATAAAAAATTAATTAAAAAGTTATCAAAAAAAAATGTTAATAAAAGAAATTAATAAAAAAAAATTAATAAAAAAGAATTAAAAAATAGATAAAAAGATTATTAAAAGAAGTTAATAAATAAAAAATAATTTAAAAAAAAAAAAGAGAAGGTTATTAAAAAAAAATAATAAATTAAAAATAAAAATTATTAAAAAATTAAAAAAAAATGATTAATTAATAAGAAAAAGGTTATAAAAAAATTAATAAAAAAAAATAAAAAAAATTAATAAAAAAAATGTTATAAGAAAATTAATAAGAAAAAGGTTATAAAAAATTAATAAAAAAATAACAAAAGAAATTAATAAAAAAAAAATTAATAAAAAAGAATTAAAAAATAGACAAAAAAGGTTATTAAAAGAAATTAATAAATAAAAAGATTCATAAAAAAATTAAAAAATAAACAATTGCATTTAATTAATTTGCTGATATTTCTTTTAGCTTTTTATGTATGCCCACCTCGGCGGTATATCAATCGTTGTCAATATTGTATTACTTTTATTAGCTGGCTTTATGGTAAATGGCCCGTATGCGCTTATAACGACATTCGTTAGTGCTGAACTTGGTCAACATCAATCGCTGTCGCATAATGCCAAAGCGCTGGCCACAGTTACGGCGATTATTGATGGTACAGGCTCAGTTGGTATGTAAAAATTGTTTATTCAATTTACAAAACTATTTACATATATATTTCTTTGTATTGCAATTTTTTTTTTTAGGTGCTGCTGTGGGTCCTTTCCTTGCCGGTTTAGTGTCGCAAAAAGGTTGGGAGAATGTATTTAATATGCTTATTTGTGCGGATATATTGGCTATGCTTATAGTGTCACGACAAGTTGTTAAGGAACTCCTTAGGTTACGTCGTGGCCGCCGTATACGCATAGAATAGATAGATATTTTATCAATGCTGAAGCTAATTTCTAATAATGTATTTATACGAGAAACCTATACCGACCACATATCGCTAATATTTTAGTTATTTGTATTGAATGCTTTTACAATATAAACGGCCAACAAATCTCATAGAACATTAAATTTAAGATTAATAATTTAAATGAATTTATACAACAAATGCAATACTGTCAAATGCATTTGAATTTTCTTTTTTGTTTTTTTTTTTAATGAATTGCACTGTAATAAATATGTTTTGTAAATGTATGTAAGCGTTGAAAGGCACAGGTATCATTTTTAAATATGTCTTATCTACTAAAGATATACATATGTATGGTTAGTCAGTGTGAAACAATGACCTTTTTATTGTATGTAAATAGTGTTTGAAAATAAAAACATATTTTTATTATTGGATATAATTAGTTTTATATATGTTTGTAACGTTATTAAATAGAGCAATAACACTGCGACAAACAGAGTCTTTCTTTTTTTTCTAAATTTAAATATATAAAATAAATAACTTAAAATTTTCTAGAAGCAAAACAAGTTAAGGATATCTTTAATTTTGGTAAAATATACATGTATGCAGACACACATAAATGCAAAGCCTAATATTTTTGAATTTATCGGTTCAGTTCGACAAATTTTCTCATCCGTCCGAAGAATATACCCAAATAAAAACGAACGTTTAAAAGAATTTAATAACAATATTTTCTTTTTATTGGAATTATATTGTGTTTATCATATACCAATCCATTTGTTTGTTTAATGTTTCCTACTTTTACAATAATAAAAAAATTGAGCTAGCTTAAGGGGGCAGGATGGTTTCCGAGGCTGAAAAAGGTTTTAAGTTTTAGTTTTGAGAAAAGTTTTAAAAGCAATTGGAATTGCCCTGAGCACTATTACGAGATAATCTATATCTCAGCGAGTTTTAGTCCGATCGAAATGAAATTTTCACAAAATATTCCCGAGGTTTTGTACTTTTATATAAAAAATATATAATATAATATTAATAATGTAGACCTTTTTTGAAGTTTCAAACCATATTGCCCCCTTAAATAACAAAATTCTTATTTATCATTGGCGCCGCAGACGCTTACTTTGTGCGAGATAAAACTATAGTTACGGAGTACTATATAATGTACCATACTAATTATATGTCAGATCAGTTTTTTTTTATACAACAATTATCCCTTAGACTATAAAACACCAACTTTGATTTCTACCATAAATGTTGAAACAATAAAAGAAAATTATATTCAAAATTCAAATTTCTCCCTTAAAGCTTTAATACCCGCTTCACTGTCCTCAGCGTAGTTATTTTGCAATACTATATCCCATTGTGTATAATCATCCAAATCACATTCTGATGCCACATCATCAACACCTTTTGTGAAATGCCAACCTCGTTCGATGCGTATTTCATCTTTTGCCATAATCCGTACTGTATGTACGAGCGTACCGTATGTTTCGAGGAAATATTTAATATCAGTTTTGCGTCTTATATCACTAACAATGATTATTTCGGTATGAGCATGCAACATCGCTGCCCGACAAAAATATCCGTAATCTTTGGCACGCACATCTTCGCTCCACTCTATCATATCTTTACGATATTTTTCCTTATAAGGACCGTCACTTAATAATTCGTTCAAATTGAGATTGAGACGTTTTGCCCACTCAGTCTTTATGGGTTCGGAAATTCGTACTATCTGGGAACGATCTCTAACTATATTTTGTAGCGTAGCCGATATGTGATCTTTCCCGGATTTTCTTTTGCCACTGATAAGTATAATTTTTTTTACGTTTTCCATTTTAAAACTTCAACTTGAACGCTGCGATATTGATACTGATAGTAACTGCGTTTGTTCTATGTAAGTATTTGCGACTTCAAGTAACAGTTTTCTTTTTCAAACATTAACAATTGTTATACAATTTCTTCATGCTAAGCAGGCGTCTATTCGCATTTTAAAGATAGCATCTTTGTTATTTTAAATTTCCTACACGTAAATATTTGACCTTATGGCTCAGTGAACACTGGAATATAAAAGAAAATAAATAACTAAATATTTTTTACACATAAACAATATATATTTACATATATGACGTGCTTTCGCTGTGATATGCCGTGTAACTAAACAATTAGAAAAATAAAATAAGTAACGGTCATGCTTTATATTAAAATTTATACATATATGCATATTGAAATTGAGAACTCAGCAAAAATAATAGCCTCACTATATTTTTAAGGCAAGTGCCAGAGTTACAGGTATGAAAGCATCTTGCAACAATTTCAGTCATTAATAACAATAAAAATTCACTCCTATAAGGTTTTGCAATTATAAGGCGAGAAGTCTATATATTATTGAAAATTGAATCTAAAATGCCTTCGTATATGTCGCGAAAACCTATCATTTCTTAATTTATTTTTAAAACTTTCTCCGATACAAACAGATAATCGTATTTACCAATTTTTACAGTATCCGTTAAGCTGTGCAAATGATTGTTTTTAACTCATAAATTAATAGAAAAACAGAAATAAATATATATCTAAGCGCTGTAAAAAAAATAAACAAAAGGTAGAAATTCCCTAATAAATTTCAAAGTAAATGTCACTTTCATTCATTAAAAGCTCAAACTCTTTTTCATAGCACTTAAAAGTAGCGTTGCCAACTATTTATCCAAGTATGAGCAAAAAAAAAACAATTTTGCAGCAAGGTTAATCAATATAACATTGCTCATTCCACAACCCAATTCAAATTTCCAAATACTTATGCTTTTAGATTTGAACTATTATATTGTTTCAATATTATACTTGTTGAAGAATGAATAAATCTATAAATACGTGGCAATAGTTAGTGCCGTTTTTTAACGATTGCTTGGCATCTCTACTTTTCCGCTGCGACGAATTGCTAGGCCGAAGTTTTCGCTGGCTGTTCGGCCATCGTCATCGCCATCATACATCTCTGTTCGCAGTCGTCGTTGGGAGTCGTTCGCTTTGCATTGACGTCGCTTCGCAGCTCGTAGTCTCCATATAGTTACACAAATAGCAAATGTCTACTACCTAGAAATTAAAAAAAAAAAAGTTGCTCTGCTTCAATTGGAAAAAATTTCACTGCATGCAGCGACTGTTGACTGCGATAGAAATTAGAGATTTTTGTGCGAAATCCAAGAGTTAAATTTGTCGACGGAGTTCTGTGGACGTCTCAGTGGACGGAAGCAGCATAATAAACGTGCGTTATTGCACTTAATAAAGCGGTAAACCCAAAACTTATAAATTTTTTTCACGGCACCAAAAAAATATAAAAGAAATGGATAAATTGGATACCAATTTGGAGCAGCAGTTCGATTTGAACCTCATTGAAGCAGTAAAAATGAATCCGGTCATATACGACCGTTCCCATTATAATTATAAGCACTTTGTAAGGAAGGCGCAAACATGGAAGACTATCGCCGAATCACTTGGTGTGCCTGGTAAGTTTCAATTTAATTATTTTAGCATGCATGCATATACATACAAACATATATTTATATAAATATTTGCATACACACATATGTATGTACATGTATAGTCTTACGATATGGGCCATTTACATACACAAACAGATATGTATGTATATGTATATAGCTGAGTGAGGCCGCCTGATTGAGCACCTCAGTCGTAGCCATCACAAAAGCAAAATTGTGGATACACGCTAAAGAAAAGTGAACCAACGTAAAAATTAAAATGAAAATCGAGTGCCAATTTAAATGTGACCGAAGGGGAACTTTTTTTATATCCACAAAAGACTGAAAGCAGAAGTGTCTCGCAAGTGAATTGGTGTGTTTGTGTGTGACGTCTACGGCATAACAAGTAAAGCGGAGCAAATTAGAAGGAGGCGGCTGTTAAAATGCAAAAGGCAGCGACAGTAATCAAAGCCGCTACAGCTCACAGCTAGCATCACAAACAATACCAAGAGGGTTTAGTACGGCGCTGGGTTAAAATTAAAATAGAAACAGTATGCCTCCAAACATCACACTGGCTGGCTGGGTGGCCACATGCCTGGGCTATCGCTTACGGCAATTGTTTTTAGTAGGTTATCGAAAACAGAGACGCATGCGGAGGCAGCAATGTTGGGCACGTCGCCGTTCCCATCGTGATGTGGTGGTTGTCGTTACTCTTCACATCACCCCGCCAACGTCGTCAACGCGCAACGTTAACAGCATTCGGGTCTGTCATTGGCACCGATGTCGTCGTTGCTGACTGCTTGCGTTTGCTGTACTTTGTTGTTCGGTCGCTTGTTTGTCAGCTACTTGTTCCGCAAGCAGAGAACTTAAAATAACGAGAAGGTGCAATTGACTTTTTGTTCGATGCTCGATTGAAATTTCTACAGAGCTAGAAAATCTCGGGAAAGGGATTCACCACTGGGTAGCATTGGCTACAACAGCGACGACGTTTGCCAACTTCAATTAGGCAATACATTCTCTGTTTTTAGCAGAAAATCCATTCCCATCTCTGCTAACTTTATCAGTGGCTGTTATAGAAATCATGGTGAATCCCTTTCCCGGTGTGGTGAATCCCTTTCCCAAAGTTTTTCAGAAAATGTTTGAAGCAAGTTCGATGTTGCAACGAATTTGCACCTTCTCGTTATTTTAAGTTCTCTGCACCAGGATTCTACTCGCGTTGTGTTCTCGGTTTGAGCACGGTTGCTGTTCAGTTCAGCCGCTGTTTTCCCCATAACGCAGTAGCGATATTCTGCTTCTCATTGCCATTTTTTTTGCCTTGATTCTCGCAACGTTTATCACGTTTGTTTACATAACATCATTTCGCTCAACAAGTTTTTCCGATTGGATGTAAACAAAGTTTTGTGTGCGCGTAATTGAATAGGACTAAACTGCTTACTATTTTTAACTTTTTTTATTTCATTAACAATAACTTTTATAAACAAAATACATCTACATATATTCTTTTTATTTTAAGAGCAAAAATGTACGAAACGATGGAAGAGTTTGCGCGACAAATTTGCCCGCGAAATGAAATTGTGTCAAGAGTCGCGTTGGCGCTACTTCAAACAAATGCAATTCCTGGTTGATTCCATAAGGTAAACATAAACACGTCTTTTCGGGGTTTTTATAAATAAAAATCAAATCTTTTTTGGTAGACAATATCGCGAGTCACTTTTGGGTAAATGTAATACGGTGCAGCAAAATACGAACCAGATAGCCCAAGTTGATCCCAATCAACAGCAACAGCAACCGCAGCAACAGGCTGTCGTAGACATATTTGCACAACCCTTCAACGGCAGCGCCACAACATCGGCACAAGCAATCGCCCATCCGCATGGTAAGTTCAATCTAGAAATCAATTAAAGTTTAATTATTTGCAAAACCTTATTAAATTGCAAGTAAATGAAATTTATAAAGCATAATATTCTGAGTTTTACATTTGCTTGTGGTTTAAAAAAATATATTTATTTTCAATTGGATTATTGTTTTGTATCACACTATATACTCAAGTTCACGTTTAGAAATTGCAGTTACAGGCGACACTCAATTGGCCGCCGCTGGAAAAGAACAAAAACCATACTTTTATGAGCCTCCTTTGAAGCGTGAACGCACCGAAGAAGATAATCACGATAATATGCTAAACACAATTAAGATTTTCCAAAATTCGATGTCACAAGCGGTTAGCGCTGAGGATCAGTCGTTTGGTATGGTCGTCACCGATATGCTGAACACGTTGGGTGTACGACAGAAGGCCGAGGCAAAGGTGCACATTATTAAATATCTTACGGATATGCAATTGCTGGCACAACACAACAAATATTAGTATGTTACGCAGAGCGTGAATGCTAGTAAGCAGTAGTTTTTGTAATAGTCATCATATGTACCAGTTAATATAAAATGAATATTAGCATAAAATACTTTGACAGATGTTTATTGGTAGTAAACTACAAAGTCAGAGAGACCAGAAATAAGCAATTATTCTATAATTATTTTGGTTTATATTTTAATGAAATACAATCTTTATTACATATTAATTTAATCATATGAACTTAAATATTTTTAGTAAATTTCAAAAATTAAATTTATTTACTTCTTTAACACAAGTTTAATATTTTAAATTAGTGATTAAACTCTGAAAAAAAAATCAAGTTTCGTTGTAAATAGCTTTAAATTTTGCAATTATTTTTTCAATACAATAACTTACTTTTATAAACTATTGCTGAATTGCGGTAACTGTAATGAGGTAAATTTCTTATGGAAATATTGATTATTATATCATTCTAAATGTTTTATATCTCGTTTTCAGTTAAAGAGGATAAACTTTCGTTTTGGATTCAAAGCGTAAACTAAACATTTTTTCTTACTTATAAATAATACATATAATGCATAATTTATAATGCCATAGGCGCATACATACTTCAATTACCATGGATTTATAAATAGTTTTAGTCATTAAGGATCATTAATACATAAGAGCTTAATGTAATATATAGCATATATATATATAAAAAGTAGATATAAATATGAATAAATGCGAATAATTTTTAAATGGAGGGTACCGACACACATATGTAACAATACAGAAAGTCTTAAGAACCAAAGCGGTTACGATAGGCGGGTTACTATGTGAAGGATCATAGCTGCGAGTTTCGATATACAACATTATAAAAAAGTTTTCTCAATGCGTCACTGGTGAATTTCTTCAAAAATTAACTATCCGCTCACAAGCTGTTTCAAAACTCTTGTAGAGCCACTCCAACATACAACGGCTTAAGGGTTCAGAAGAGTGGGTTAGCAGCGTTTGTTCACTAGAGGTTTGAGACCCGCTACGTAGAAATCAGCTCCAATGAAAAAGAAAATATTGCCTCGGATGAGTAAATATTTTAAGAAACACGATTTAAGTTTGTCCCTTGATGTCCTCGCAAGACTAATAGTGACATCATCGTCGTCGAGAATGCGAACGAGTAGGTGCTATTTGACTTACTCCTATACGACATATTTCCAGTGTTGTAGAAGTGTGTATTTTCCGAGGATCTAACATAGAGTTGGATCTCTACATTGTAGCAACAAAACTAAGGGCCCGACAACGTCGACAAAAAGACATATGCTGGCACAATCATGATCTGGATATTGTAGTCGACATAATGCCCATCTTTTTAGACTTGATCTCGACATACTCAACGTCTGTGCGGCGTGCAATAAGATCGCACAAATTACTTGCCAGCTTTTCTTATGTAGCCCATCGTGGCCTAACACCTGAACCCTTTGACCGAGTTGCGTAGTTTATGTATGCTCTCTAATATATTCAATAATCGAAGTTTCTATGCAAGCGAACACAATTTGGCAGCATAGCGAGGAAATCAATTAGCTATTTGGCATCCCTACAAGTATTTGTTTACAAATATACATATGTCAAAATATATGTTCATTGTCAAAATCATATGTACATTTGGGAAAAACCAGTAAGGATAGAAATTACAGAAATATATATGGAAAAACGAAAAATGAGAAATTTTATTCAATCCGTCAGATAAGAAGCTGTTACCGTTGTAATGTTAAAAGGAGCGAGTATGTTTCTCCATACCACTAGTGAAAGCAGCCCACTCTTATCATGTGGTACTTAAATGTATGAAATCTTTGTAAAAGATTTCTATGTGCTCCTTGTTGATGTAGCACCCACGCAATTCATATATGTACATGAGTAAAACTAAACAAGTGCAATATCAATTTTTGAAAGTATTCTGGTAATTAGAGAGCAAAAGATTGCATATAATCCAATGTTTAAAAGTCACACAAAAGCTGGAATATCAGCAAAAGGCGCTAAGGCTGCAGCGACCTTTAAAGAAGTAAAAAGCAATAATAGAAAGGAAAATACGATAATTACAACTGGCACCACATTCAATAGCAGTGGCGACAGTACCAGTCGGAGTAGCAGTCGCTTCATTATTAACAAAGGCAGCAGTATTGTGAGTGAAAAGTATTCGTTCAAGTCAAAAATCAAGGTATTTGATTGCTAAACAATACAAACACATATACATATTTACATATCTTATGTAGCTAGTTTACCTGCAAACATAATTGCATTAAAAACGATGCGAGAGATATGTAAATATACATACATATGGATGTGTGCATTTCTCCTTTTAAAGAAAATTTGCCCATGTTTTCACTTAATCAGTAAGTTATGCACCAATATATATATATGTATTTACATACATATGCACCCAGATATACATACTATACGAGGTTAATATTTGTTTTTTAATGAAATATTTGAACTTGTGCCTTTGATGAGTTTGGACGGTTATAACCTACACTATACCACTCTTCTTATTTCATATTTCAGCGCGAGCCATTGTTTCTACTCATCATAATGCGTTTGAACATAAAGAATTTTCTATTCGCGCTCATTGCATTTGTTGTATTTACCGGTGCAGTCTTATATTATTTCTTTCCGGACTTTTTATTTCCACATAATTTGGTACAAAGTTGGGATCGTCGGTTAAGTGTTAACAACGGTTATAATCCAAACATTATTGGCGATGGCTCACGTTCGCTTTCCGCGCCATTGCAGAATATTGAATGCTGGATAAATCAAGAGTATTCGATACCTTGTAAACACAGCACGGAAAACAACGAAGTATATGTACCATTTTCCTTTTTGCGCAGTTATTTTGATGTAAGTGGTGTAATGCTAGCTACCACAACTAGCAGCGTTAATGACAACATCAATAACGCGGATGATAATGCGTTACCACGGTTTGCGTGGTCGCATAGTAATGCTAAAGTAAATGTACCCAAAGGAAAGTATGATACACGCGGACGCTTTGCATATTTCGAAAACTATAATGTAGAGGTGAGTTACAAATTAAATCATAACACTTTTCGTAAGTTTAACAAAACGACAATATTTAGGTGCGAGAACGCGTAAAGTGCATTAGTGCTGCGGAGGGTGTACCTATTAGTACGCAATGGGAGAAAAGTGGTTACTTCTATCCTACACAAATAGCGCAATTCGCCTTGGCACATTATAGTAAAAATATAGCTGATCCACCACCAAAAATTAAGGTACGCTAAAAACATTTTTGTTAATATAATATATATGTTTAATAAGCTGCTGATAAAAAATGTTCTCAATAACAATTATGAGCGCTAATCGTATATATTATATTTAGAGATAAGGCGTTTCTATTATCATAATTATTTATAGACAAAGGTATTTATAATAATATGTAGAAAGAAGTAAGAGAAATAATTTATTTATTTTCATAAAAAACTCTAATTTTTCTATTTATATATTTACGGAATGCAGGTGCTCGAAGATGCTGACACTAATAAGGCTACTTGGCTCACTCCAAAGTCTAGTAATATATCACGCATTTGGCATCCGAAGTTTAATTCAACCGTCATTCAATACGAAACTGCTATCGGTTATGACAGCGCTGTACGTATGGAAGTGAATCAAACACTTGAGCTGGTGCTAAGTGTTGATCTTCTTTTGGTCACTAACAGTAGTAGTCTTATGGTAGTGTTGCAGAGCCGTGATAGTCTACAAACGTATACACTCCATTATATACCCGCCAATTTGCGACTGAGTACTCAAGAGCATAATATATACTACGGCATGGGTACCAGTGCGGTGAACAGATGGCGCCATATAACGCGGGATCTTTATATTGACGTGCAAAAAGGTTTAATGAGTGGTAGTGATAAGAAATCACAATCCAGAATACGTCGCAATGAGTTGCATGTTTCGTCGGTAGCCTTTCTAGGCGTGGGCTTCTTCGACAACATAACTTTATCAACATACGATCATATGGCGCATTTTTATGATGCCGCCGAATGGTTTATACATCATCAGGACACAAAAACTGGTGGCTGGCCAAATCCAGTGAAGCGAAACCTAAATGGTTTTACTGAGCTTAAAGCTGGATGGCTCTCTGCCATGGGTCAAGGACATGCAATATCCGTATTGGCGAGAGCATATTATCATTCTGGCGGTGATAAAAGGTATTTGAAAGCAGCGGCTTTGGGCTTAAAACCATTTAAAGTTAACTCCAGCGACGGTGGGGTATTGGCACAGTTTATGGATAAGTATTATTGGTAATTAAAATATATACTGTTTTAAATTAAGAATAATATATACATATATATAAATTACTTTATTTCTTTTAATTTTTTATATTTTACAGGTATGAGGAATATCCAACAACACCAGCCTCTTTCGTACTTAATGGTTTCATATATTCCTTGTTGGGTTTATATGATTTAAATTCAACAGCGCCTTTGAGTATTGCTCGAGAAGCCGGTAAATTATTTCATCAAGGTATGTTTTCTTTGAAGAAAATGTTGCTGCTTTATGACACTGGCTCGGGCACAAGCTATGATTTGCGTCATCTAAGCTTAGGTACTTTACATTTATATTTTGCAAACTATAAACAACAGTTTTATTAATATATTTTGCCTACATATTTAATAGGGACGGCACCAAATTTAGCGCGTGACGATTATCACGCGACACATGTGAGTCAATTACTATTGCTATCTACAATAGATAGTGATCCATTGTTAATGGAAACAGCAGAGCGTTGGAAAGGCTATATGTTTGGTAAACGTGCTAAGCACAATTGAGGGCGTGGTAGGCGTGCGCGCCATAAAAAATTTCACTTACGATCCAGTTGGAGCTACAGAAACTTCGAGTGATATTAACTTTAATTTTTATTTTCAAAATGCAGCTTTCTTTTTTACTTAATTTTATAGTTACATTTATACACAAGATCATGCAAGTTTTTTTTATTTATAATTTTAAGTCTTTGTCAAAATGTATTACTCAATATAGCATAATTATTAAGTTAAACAAAATATGTAATAATTAAAATTTTAAAAATTATTTTAAAGAAGCATCCTTGCCATTCTATATAATTTAAAATTCAATTTTAAAGAAAGCTTAGAGAAATAGGTAACTTAAAAAGTGTTGTATATTATGCATATATTTTGCCGTATAGTATTGCGAATTATTATTATTAACGTTTCACAACGTTTTTACGAACAAAGTCTTTAGGGAAAAGAAAATATGTTTTTAACTTTTATAATCGATTCAAGAAAATTTCAGAAATCTAGATTTAAGCAAACATTTATTTGTTTAATTTTTAAAATATAAAATAACTAAACATTGTTAAACTGTTAAATATCGACTAAGTAGTGGGGATGTAAAACTCGCAATACATCGGGCAGTATCAATGCAGTTAATATTATAGTATTATTTGTAAATTCAAATATTTTTATTGCCGTACTATTTTTTACTGAGTCGGTATTTGATTACTATGAAATTTGTAAAAAAAAAAATTATTAGAATGATTGATATAATGAAATAAAAATGTAACATTTAAATAAAAACGTATTTAATTATATTTAACGATACTGCAGATATTAGAGCAATTTTCGTTTCAAATTAGTAGTAGTCTTAGAGCTTCTGCGTTGCCTGTTTACATCCTCCTAAACTAACTGTATTAACTTTCACGCAATCGTACTTAGGTACAATAATTGTTTTTATAATGGTAGTCTGTTAAAAATGAAATACAATTATAAAATCGACTTGGACCGATGCAATAATTAATATAGACACTGTATCGGGATTATTGCTAAGTAAAGTAAAAATACATATAATATGTATTAATGTAAAAAAATGTTGAAATAACAACTGCCAAATTGTGAACAAACACTTATTTGCTCTAAAGAAAATAAGATGCACAAATAAATAACATTAAAAAAACTGTATTTTTTTTTTAAATAAAAATGATAGAAATCCAATCAGTATACCGGAAATTGCACCATTTAATCATTAAACATGTGTAAAATCTATTATTTAAAATGTTTATTTACAACACATTTGGTAATTTTAAAAGTAAAATACAGATACAATACAGATCATACAGTCACTTTTTACGTTTTACATACTTATAAATTTAATGAAACTTTATACTTTTATATAGTATGCTTATAACTAAAATGGAACACTATTGTACAAATTATATTATGAAAACTTGGCATAGCCTCAACCAAAATCTTTATATCCAACAAATTGCATTATTAGACGTAGTTAATTATTAAAAATAAATATAAAATAATAATCACTTAGACAATGGCAAACTTATAGTTAGTTTTGTTTACTGAGTTTTGGTCAGGATCTTCGCCACGACAGTATGTGTGATTTAATCGAAGGTGGTCCATATCGCTTTTCAGCTTCCGCAACAAAAGCATGTTCCATTTGATCACAAATCAAATCAAAAAATATATTCGCAATATTACTGTGTATCAGGGATTTAAATTCGAAAGTAACTTTAAAATCAACAACACATGATTGTGGTATATCCTTCAAACCAGGACTGAATCTCCAATCGTTTAGTAAAAAATTAAATAATCTACCGTCATTGCATACTGATTTCACTAGTTTGGGTGCATTTAATGATACAGTCGATGTGTATCGTTCGTTAAGTGGTGGAAAACCGACAATAAGATCAGCTTTGAAGCCATCAATGTGTTTGCTATGTACGAGCGATTTTTTAACATATGGTACAAACTTATAGTAATTCGATACATCCGCAACCACATCGTACATTTCCTCCATCGAATAACTGCAAATATACAAAATATTATAGCAGTTGCAATGAATGTATACGTGTTTCCAGCTGTATACCCGATTAGCTCCTTTTTCACATATTCGCGATTTTTATTCGTCAAATCACTTAAAGTAAAGAAGGCTCTTTGAGCGCAGTTTGCAGTGCTTCCAGAAGCGGTGCTAAAATGAAAAGTAGATTAAAATAAATTTGAGCAATATATTGAAATGAAAATGCATTACGTAGATTTTTGTTTTATAGGTTATATAATATGCATTGCAGTTTCAATTTCTGAATGAATAACAAGTACTTACGACAATTGCTTGCAGGCGCAACATATAAATTGCTTGTTTAATAGCAACAGTTGTGTGCTTTTCAGCATTGTGTCACAAAAAATCCAGCAATAGGTTCACACAAATCCAGAGCAAAAATTTTAAAAACAATAACAAATGAAATGTCAAAACTCTTCTTATTTTGCTGCACTGTCGTAAAAAACAGCTGATTTTATGAAATTTGGAGAAATGGATAAAAATTTATCGATAAAAAAATAAAAGCTACAAGATTTCCCATAATTTTTTATTATACATATTTTTACAGCTCTAATAAACTCAAAAATATTTCATGAATGAGACATTCTTAACAATTAATAACTGCTATAGTCATCTGAATCTAGATTAGCTTAGTAGTTGTGATTGAAGATAAAAAAAATACTTGAATTACTATTTCATTGCCGTAACAAGAAGAAGAATGTTGATAAGACAAACAGCTGACAATTCGAATTGGCTTCTAAATTTACGGCAGCTCTTAATTTAGTTATTAAATAACAATAAAATATGTCGAAGGAAGCCGATAATACACAAATTAAAGACAACTCTACCGGTTCACAGCTTAAGGACGCTTGGTCTGTGAGTAGAATTTGAGTAATGTTTTTCAATTTAATTCATATTTATCAATAATACCTAGATCCGACCATGTTCTGTTTATAAGGACGAATATGACGATTGTACCAGCATAAAGGCACGCTTCCACCAATATTTTATCTATGGCGAGAACGTTGACTGCTCCCAATGGAAAAAAGATTATGATAATTGTGAGCGGTATGTAAATTCGAATGGCAATGATATAGCAGCCGGTGAAGCTGTTATTAATAGCGAAGCTGAACGCAGGCGAAAACGCTTGGAAGCGCACTATAGCAATACGACATGGAAAAAGCGTACACATCCACCGGAAGATTGGTCGAAACCTTTACCTGAATGGTTGGCTAAGAAAAACGAGAACACATTTTTAGAAGTAAAACAAATGGAATTAGATGGTCGTAAACCTGTTGAAGTGGTTGAAAAATCCTTTTGCGCTATTATGTAGTTAAAAACGTTATATATAATTGAAATGCTATTAGTTTGTTGTAACAATTATATGTAGTTTTATTTATTTACACAATTTTTAAGGGTATACATAGGTTTATTGTCATTTTCAAAATCTTTGCATTACTAAAAATAATATTGCGCTATTAACATACGTTTCAAGGGTCGATAAAATTTATGTTAAAATAACAAAAACTAGCACATATTTACATACATATAAAAAAACCATTTGTACACATTTGCTAAAATTATAAACAGCTCCCCGCCATATCAATCGAAGTTTTGTTCCCTAATATCAGTTAGTAATGTTAGCGCTGAGCTTGGTGCGCGGTTGAGCTTACACAAAATATTCAGGTACAAATTGAAGCATGATAATCGAAATGAAGTAGCCCTAAAAAGAATGGTCAATCGCATTGTATTTTCAAATCAGTGCAGTCTTATTTACCACAAGTTGTATTCGAAAATTAGCCGTCTATAAAACCAAAACATGTAGCTTCGGATTGAGTTATATTTGACGTAAATGCAATGTTGGGCATACCTCGCCATTGTACGTGGCCTATCCACTACATCACCGTGCTGACGCCCTATGGCACGAACAGTATTTAAGTTCCTTTAAATATAAAGAAATATATATATAACCAATTTTAAATAAGTATTCAATAACATTTTACCTCACTACAAATAACATATTTCGTGGCATGTCTTTTAATGTACCCATTATAAGTTCAAAATTTTTCTTCGCTACTTGTTGAATATATTCAATATCACTTTCGCTCAATTTTGTCTTGATACGACCGCCATGTATGCGTATAGGTTGTTGGAAAAGTACTTCTGCAAATTTCATATGATCATTTATGCCTATTTTTTGTGCTGCTGATTTCATTCTTTGTTCATCCCTCAACACTGTCGCCTCCCAGAACTCACAAAGTGGTAAGCGCACCGACTCCGGTAGAAACTCGTATAAGCCATGATCCAACAGTACTAATTCAGCTTGGCCAGTTTTTGGATTTTTTCGTACATAAACTAAAAAACTTTGGCCGGTTACTTTGACCTATTATCAAATGAGATATAAAAAATTTACCATTTCCTGGATGAGGATCAGCATGAACAAAACCTGTGTGAAATATTTGCTCAGCAAACATATTAAACAATTTTAAATCTACATCTTTTAAGTCGAGCTTTTCGAGTTGTATGCGTTCAACATCACTCACTTTAAATCCATTAACCCATTCCATGGTGAGTACGCGCTGTAATAATAGAAATAATTATTTAACACTAAAAATCAAAAAACTATCTACCGGTTTTGTGTATTCCCAATAAATGCTCGGAACATGCACATATTTAAATTTCTCCAAATCCTTAGCGCATCGTTCTGCGTTTTGACCTTCATTCTCGAAATTCAGCTCTTGCACTAAATTTTTACGTAAGTCACGTAATATCCAACCAAAATTATAATTTTTAAAAAATATTTCAATAATATCTTGCAGAAACATTATTGTTCCCAAATCACTGGTAAATCGTTTCTGTAAGTCACCATACTGAACCTAGAATAAAACAATAATATTAGGCCAGGATCCGATAAATAACACTATAAAACCCACTTTTACTGCAACATCCTCACCACTTTTTAGTTTCGCCTTGAATACTTGTGCTAAGCTCGCCGCTGCAATAGGAGTATATTCGAAATCACAGTAAATATGCTCTGGGTTTGCACCAAAATCTTTAATGAAAACTTTCTGTACATCAGCTTTTGTTGTGGGCAAGCATTTATCTTGTAACTTCTCTAATGTGCTAGTATACTCCTTTGGCAATATGTGATTAATAGCGGCAACACCTTGACCCATTTTTATATACAGCCCTCCATTTAGTAAGCATGTTTCAAGCAAACGCCCAGCACTTTTTAAATGTACCTGTTTCAATTGCAAATCATAATCGAAATCATCTACATGCCGTTCGAGTAGAAAATAATCTATTGCGATTAATGAGGCAGTTTTCACTGAACGCAAAAATCGTATTGAAGCTCCAGAGTATATAAAGTCATTAACCACGCCATCATATGTGACAAAACCTGTAAAAATTCCAAGTAATCCGAGACCAAAGTAATGATGTTTCCGTTGAGGCTTTCCTGCCGTGTTAGCAAAATTTCTTTGCTTCGAGCAGCGAATGAGATGGGTAAAATAATTGTTTCTTCCGGCGGAAATACTGCCTTGCCTACTGATGCACTGTCAATCAAAGAGTCAAAAATTATTATTTTTTACTTTTTGTTTAAAAAACTTACAAAAATTTTATTCATTTTTTCTGCATCTAATCTGTGAGCAATATATTTTTGATTTCTATCACTTCATGCACAGTCAGCGAATTTTCTATGCTCCATTGATAACAACTGATTTTTTCGCTGATCAAAACAAAAAACATATGATACCATAAGTTGCACGACAGTGCTGAAAGTTTTTTTCATTTCTAAATTTTAGTGATCCGAACTATTCTCCATGGAACTATCTGTTTTTAGTATCTGGATAATTGGTTATTAGGATTGTCAACCAAAAAATCTTAAATTTATCTATTTAAATTTCTAAAATCGCCAATTTTTTATATTAAAAACGAGTAGCATAAACTCTACACTGTCATACTGTCAGCTGTGCATTATATACAACACTGCTAATTAACTCCTGTACCCCAAATACCCCCAAAAATCGATAAGGCACTGCAATGGGGAAAGAAGTTGTGAAAATATTTAATATGAAGTGGTAAAAGTTTAGAATTCTGGAAAATAGTTAGAAATATAATTATCATGTGTAGGGCAGGGTTCCCTTATATATATATATTAGTATTTGTTTATTTAGTAGTAAGTTGTCACGCCTCAATTGGTGATCGCACGCAATTTTTTCACAATTGTCGACAAAACTGTGAGCGACAAAATTGCAGTGCTGGTAAGTTAACGAGTACAGTGGAAAAAAGTGAAAAAATTCTCGTAAATGATATTGAATTTTATTTGCATGCATTCAGGTATAATGGGTTTGTTTTTCTGAAATATTCTTTTTTACAGATGGCATTGAAATTCAGGAACAAGCGATAAAGTATTATCAGCAGTCAATTTTTGATAAGGCGTTTGCTTGGAATTGTGCAGATGAATGCCAGTATGGTTGTATGTGGCGCACAGTGGATGCATTTGCTGAACGTGGTTGGGATGTGCCGCAATTCTATGGAAAGGTGAACATTTCATAAGATACCAATTTTCCCAGTTTTTATTATGGCTAGTAATCTTTATTTATTAAAAACTTATTTCTATAAAAAGTGAATAATTAATCATTAAATTTTTAGTGGCCATTTGTACGCTTTCTTGGCATGCAGGAGCCGGCGTCAGTTTTATTCTCCATACTCAATTTGATTGCACATATTCGCTGGCTGCGACGCTTTCGAACTGAAGTTCGTCCGGATAGCCCGTGTTATAAGTTGTGGCATATTTTCTCATTTGTAAGCTATACATTAAATTTTATTATTAACCGTGTTTTTTTTTAGATCTGTATAGGTACACACTATACAATTTTCTATAAAATATAATACTAATTTTTCATGCGTTAAAAAATAATATTTCAGATATGTATTAATGGTTGGATATGGTCTGCCGTTTTTCATACGCGAGACTTTCCTGTGACAGAGTTGATGGATTATGCTTTCGCATATAGCATCGTATTGGTATCCCTTTATTGCATGATTATGCGGTGTGTAAAATTACTAATTTATTAACTTCTGAAAATATTAAAAACTAATTTAATCTTTTTTCGGTTTGCTTACAGAATGTTACACCGCCGCTCAATAATACTGCGCGGCCTGATTTCGTTAATATTTCTGTCGTTTTTCGTCAATTACTTTGCGTACCTGAGCTTAGGAAAATTTAGTTACTCTCTTAATATGACAACAAATATGATTACTGGTAAGTTATACTTTAAAAAGCCGTAAAATGCCAGTGAAATTAATGCTTTCAATAAAATTTAATTTTAGGCGCTTTATCTGCCCTTGGCTGGCTGGTTTGGTCCTACTTGGAACGTCATCGGCGCCCGAATTATCGAAAAATTATACGCTTCTACATTCTTTTCGGCATGTCCATGAGCCTGGAGCTGCTGGATTTTCCACCAATTTTGTGGTTATTAGATGCACATGCATTGTGGCATTTGGCCACAGTTCCCGTCATATCGGTGTTCTATGAGTGAGTACTTTATTCATCATCATCTGGAGGAAGGTAGAAAATGCACATATATATTCCTTTAAAATTAACCTTTTCTAGTTTTATAATCGATGATTGCCGCCTGCTGAGGAAGGAAAAGCAATATGATGATGAAAAGTATCGCAAACACATCTGAAGAGCTCATACTAAGTAAAATAACTTCCAAACATTTGCTTGTTTTTTTTAGCTAATTTTATTTTACAAACTTAAGGATCAAAGCTGTAAAGTATTTTATTTTATTTATCATGTAAAAATATTAAAAGAATTATATTTAATAATAACTTTACTAAACTTTCTACATTTGTCCGCATTGTGATATCGTTACTGGGAGTTTGGGTTTATTGTTGGGACCCGTTGGTACATTTTCTATTTTTCGCATTATCAACAGACCATCCAATACACGACCAAAGACAACATGTTTTCCGTCTAGAAAGTTGCATTTGGCACATGTGATGAAAAATTGACAGCCATTGGTATCCTTACCACTGTTTGCCATAGATAGTAAACCGGGAGAATCGTGTTTTAGTGTAAAATTCTCATCTGCGAATGTGCCGCCATATATGCTCATTACACCAGTACCATCACCCTAACATTTAGTTAAAATATTAATTATTTAATTATAACATATATATTTATATTATCTACTTACATGCACAAAATCACCTCCTTGAATCATAAAATCTTTAATAACACGATGAAAGCTTGCACCTTTATAGCCCATAGGTACATCGTCTGGTCGATATTCCCCCGTGCAAAGTTGACGGAAATTTTCAGCTGTTTTTGGCACTGTATCCGAAAATAATTCAAAAATCATGCGTCCGATTTCCTAAAAAAATAAAATTAATATTGAATTGTAAAGTCGTATTGTTTGTAACTTACCGTGGTGCCAACAGATATATCAAAGAAAACCACTGGATTGTTAGGATTGCGCAGCTGCGATTGAATTTGATTCCAAGTCGGCATGATTCGCTAATATTTAGTATAGTATAACCTTAGTTCTTAATTTATAAAACTTATTTTTTGAGGATTGGGCTATTTAATAAAATGTTGTATAGTTTTGTTTATGTTCGGAATATGACATTTGAATGACAGCCGGCGTTTTCAGAGAACGTATATTCTACGTTCTCTGTCGTTTTGACCTTAAAAGCTAATGTAGAGCTGTGATGACCATACCGTATTCACAGCTGATCCAATTGATCGCACCTAATGGGTTAAACAAACAGAAGATTGCCAATATTTTAGGTATTTTTTGGCGTTTCGAGCCCCCAACCTTTTTTACCCTTTGAAATGTGGGATTATTTCACACTTAACAAATATTTATTAAAATTATAATATAATAGAATAATAAGTAATTTCCTAATATATCTTTTAACTTAATCAATATTAAGTTGTTATTAACAATCTATTAATTTATATTAAATATTAACTAAGCTAGCACTGATTTTGGTTATAGTAGCATAAGTCGATTATATCTATGAAATATAGTTATGGTCCCAGCTATGGTTACAACTGTGGTTTTATGGCGTGGCATCTTTGATTCTACCTTTCTTCACTGCGGCTGCAAACGACAGCTGTCAATTTTAAAATCAGCTGTCCCCCAGGTAGCATTCTGTAAACAAAGTGGTGCTTGCTTGCTGTGTGCAATAAATAGTTTACGTTTTTTGTTTATAAAATAAAAATTAAAAGTAAATTAACCGGTGTTTTATATAGTAAATAAAAATACGAATACTAAATACTTCTTTTTGTAAGTAGATTCTGATATTATAACAATATAATTCTTTAAAGTTTTAAGCCGATAACAGTGATAGTTTAAGCATGTGCTATTAAAAAGTGTTCAAAACATAATTAATGTATGTACATACTTAAAATGAATAAATGATAAGTTTCTCAGAGCAAAGATAATCTTAAGTTTGGGATTATCAACTGAATGAAGAGTACGTGGCTTGTGCTTAAGTCCGAGTTTCGCGCTACATTTTGTCAAAAAGTCGAAGCAAGTAAAAAACAAACATTCGAAACTCTTATGCAGTTGCTGTCTTCGGAAATTTAAGTAGTGCTTTGTCTCTTTATTCATTGCTCATAGAACCCCAGACAACTTTTCTTTGACAACTAAGATCATACCTGCTCCACTGTCTTGGCACAATCCCTGCTCTTGTTGCTCTTTATCTACCCAACATATAATGCCCTGTTAAAAGTCCTACTGCCAGCCTGATGTTGTCACTTCATGATTTATACTAACTGAAGGGATACTTTACCACTTCTCGTTGTATTCTGCTGACGTTTTGATTGGTAATCACTCTGTTATTTCTTAAACTTGCTGATAGAATGCTCGGATAAGTCCTGCCGAAATCCGACCGTATTTAGAAAACAGTAGCTTATTTGTTAGGCTAGAATTGGGAAGAGCAAAGAATAGATAAGACTATTAGTTGACCGGCACACCACTGAAGTCATTTTATATAATATAATATCCATTATAGCAAAAGCGAAAGCAGTGGTTAACTCTAGAGAGAAGCTCCTACTGATGCCCACAGAGATGGATAAACACAGTCACTTCCTGCCAATGTAAGGTATCAAGCGCCTTCACTGTAGCCGAAGTGCTCGACGAAACGCTCTATATAACCACGGGGGTTAAGGAGGTGGACTATTAATTATCTGAATTACCGCTAGAATTTCGATAGCTTTAACGAGGGGTTCCATAGCTTGGTGCCTTCTTCTCACAGTAGTTTATTATTCCGAGCGGAAAACTTTGCGACCTTGGTGTACGGCCAAGATATCGATAACCTTTGTACGGAAGTGAACGATCTGGCCTTTCCACTTCTTCGCTATTAGTCATTTGGAACTTGCAACCGCAAACTTCACTGTGACCCGTTTCTAACTGATATTCTTGGCGCAATTAAGAACTCAACTTCTACTTCTATTCAGACCTGACGTCTATATATTCAACCTCTACTCCGCAAATAATGAGCCTCCGCAGTAACTCTTCGCATGTCTCCGTAAACCTCATCTAACACCACTCCCTATCTTCTTCTTCTTTGTTGGAGAAGAGACCGCCGCAAAAGAGATTATACCCGAGTTAACAACAGCGCACCATTCGTTTTTCCTCTTCGTTATTTGTCCTCAATTTCACATATCGAGCTCTTTTCATCTGATTTTCCTCTCTTAGCACCGAGAACTGTGTTGTCTTCATCGTTCACGCTTTTTTGCCACTCGAAATGACGTGCGACTTGTTGCAGTGCAAAATAATACCTGTTGGTGAGATGATCCTGCGTTGTTGTTGGTGCTGATGCTCCAAAAGAAAGGCAATGATTAACTACTAAATTATCGATTAAGCCATCGGCTCTGGCTGATGAAACGTTTATACCATCGTCGTCGATTGGAACTTCGGGGTATTTCACTTCCTCTGCGGTTATAGTAGAATTCCTTCCATAACCCAATATACACTGGACGTCAGCCACAAGATCACTTTTCTCGTTTCTACAGGAAAAACTTCGCTTCCCTCTTCAACACTCGCTATATTCACCACACCGATCGCGTCGATTGCATTAGTGCAATATAAGTCATCCCCAACATACTAGCTTCTAATTTGGTCTTCTCGAAACTCAATAGTTTTCTATGCAGCTATAATTAGGGAATAAAAAATACCGACCCATGTCTTGTTGCTGAATAGTGCTCTCAAAGAGCAGGAGTGCAAGTCGAATAGAAAACCATTTGACTGTCTCTTGTTGTAATTGCAATATTTCGGCACCGAACCCTCTTTGTATTTCTTGACGGACGTTTCGTTCTACTCTATGCCTACATTTGCTGCTTTAAGAAAGTGAGTGGTCCGAGTCGACATTAAGTCCTCGGAGTGTACGCCCGTCTATATAACTGTAGACCTATTTTCTATACGTATGTATAATAGCAAAATAATCGATCTGGTGGGGAGTTCTTCAATCCGAAGTCAACCAGACTCTTGTGAAGTCAGTCCAACTTAACTCACTCAAAGTTGTTTCGTCGTGAAATCTAAATTTTCGAACTGTTATGTCGAAGACAATTCCTTCACCGATCCTGGCACCGAGCATAATTTCGACATCGTGACGGTATCTGGGGGACGTACTTCCACCGGGGTAAATTACAGAATTCGGCTATGTGCGTGAAATGTCCTGATAGCGATGAATCTGTCGAAAGCTACTCCACTCCCTGATTTCAAATGCCGATGATTGGTCGATATTGTTGTCCGGCCAAGATATTGACGACCTATGTGTGATAGCAAACTACTTCACTGCAAGACAATTGAAAACACAACCTACATAATGCTCGCTTACCCTATTCATCAGCTGGCTCGAACTCGATTGCGTCCAACTATAAACAACCCAAAGTTACTGGGAGTCACAATCAATGGTTGAAAAACTTCAGAGCCGCAACAAAATCCTCAATGCTTTGGCCGGCAACATCTGGGTAAAACATAAAGAATATAGAAAATGCAATTGGTTGGCCGGGCGTAAACTACGTTGCACCGATCTCGGCCCGTGGACAAACGAAAAAGTTAGCTGTCCCGCGTAATACTGGCGAAATTTAGGTCTGAATATTGTGGCAGGTATACCTAACGTATGCGTCTAAAGCCAACACATCTAACGCTCCTCTACTTTTAGTCCGAACACTTTGTAAACAGCTCGCTTTCTGCACCTCCCATTAAATGAGCTCACCAGAATCCGGCGAATGAGTCGCTCCTCCACCACTAATTGGTAACCAAATTTTGCACTCATTTGTATGGTCACTTGTAGCGCATGTACAAACCTTGTTCCGCACATTGCAATTATTGAACGGTGGTGATGTCAGTCTCTAGTCTTACGACCGATACGCTTACTGCCTCACATCTGTTGAACAAACGCTGCAAAAAGAGTCTAGTGAAAAGACAATGAGACTTCACTGAGCCTTCCTATCTTTCAGCTCTAACTCAGGGCTCCACACGAGTTGGTTATCGTATCTTGAACACTGGTTGCTATGAGGGCCCAAGCTTTGGAATTGTAACTGTAGCTGCATGTCTCTAAGCAGGATTCCAACCCATCACAACCGCTGCCTTCTAGCTTTGACTGTGATCTCAACCAATATTAACGAGACAACAACAACATCAACAATTTCATGAGGCATTTTTTTTATTACAAATTTAATAAAACTAAAAAATAATAAGAAATATTTAATAAATTCACATAAATATTCGAATTTGAATTTGTGCAATGACTTTCATACACATACTCGTATCTAGATAACATACACGAAGTAATCTTGCATGTATGTACATATGTACATATGTACTATATTCAATTCGCTTATATATTTTCATTGTATTGGACTTAGATCTACTTATGATGCTTTGTTTGCATTAGAAAATCAATAAATAATTACAATTAAATACATATCTACATATTTATTTATGTATATATGTATGTATGTATGTATGTATGTTCGATATTTATGCATGAGTGAGTGTGCTAAAATAGTAGAATGCTGATCAATAGGAACACAAAGTGAGAGGCGATATTTGTCAAGTGAAAAGTGTAAGTGATGTGTAATGAACCGTTACAACTAATTTTGAGTGCCGTTAAATATAATCGAATGCAGTTATGAAATTCTCTTTAACTAAATGCATTTCCCCTCCATCGCAATGCGTTGAAAATCGAGTTTTATTTCGAGATAGATTCAATCTAGGTTTCATTGCCTTCATCTTCAACCTCTTACCCTCATTCATCACTTAAAGTCTAAAAATTAATACTACAGTGTATAATCCAACAAGTGGAGGTAAATCGAGCTGACGCTGGGCGTGGCGTTGTGATTTTTTTTTTTTTTTTAAATATTTTATGTAACAGTGTGTGTAGTGCAATGGTTTGACGCCCAGCGACTAGGCCTCAATGCTTCTGCTTTGACTCTTGACTAATTCCTTTAGAACACTGGCTAATTACTCGCCTCATCAGCGTCCACATCCTCAATGCCACGCAATTTATTTTGATCCGCTGTTGCTTTCATAAAACTTTGGAGCATGGCATTAGAGTCAACGACCAGAATCGGCGTACAACCATCCTTGAGATGTTCATTTTGACTTTCGTACATTTCACGTGATATACTGCGTGTGAAGGAGAAACGTAAGGATTTGGTGCGTGTAAGCTTCTTCTTGATTGGCGGTTTGCCAATGATGGGTTGTGGTTCGGACATGACTTTCTCCTTCTCGGGTGTGGGCGAGAGTGTGGGTACGTCGCGTAGAATGTCATCGGCGAAGGCTTTGATCTCAGACCAGGCGTCGGCTAAAAAGAGGCAGAGAGGGAGAGAAAGAGAGAGGAAAAAATAAATATTTATTAAAAACTTTTGCTGTCGCTTTAATGGACATTTTTTTTTGCAATTATAATAATTTAAAAGTTATAAATATTTAGCAAAAATGATAGAGAAATCAACAATCATCGCTAGTCGCATAGTTAGCGATAAATAAATTCTAGTTAAATAGTAATGAGCGAAAAATTGACTCTTTTGCTGTCATCGAGTGTGATAGAATACCGAGACTGCGCCAATCACAATACCGTTATCCGCAGTTACAAAATTTTGACAATCAGCTGATACTTTACGGACGTCACACTTTCAAATCACAATAGCAAAAAGGAAAAAACGCAAAAATCGATATCGGTTGTTGGCCTTGATACTTTTGTTTTGGGCCAAACTAATCCGATTGTGTCGATCAGCATTTAAAAGCTGACATTCAAAATATTAATCATACTTTTTTTTTCACTATAAAAGAGGAAAGAACTTTGCCAGACGTGGCGAAAAATGTGTGTGGCTTATAGGGAGAGTGGTGTAAGGAATGGCGGACTCAGGAAGTTTGCTGTACTCCGTTCTCCTCGGCTAATCACTCGAAAATTCGATGAAATTCTGCAACAGATATAGCAAGACCGGCATGTAAGCTGCTGTCAAGATCTAGCGGAGGCATTAGACGAAACTCGAGTCATTTAAAAAAGACCGGCTACTCAAAGAAGCGCGATGTTTGTATGACACATGAGTTAAGCCAAAAAAATTTGTTTGACTGCAGTGAAACGCTTATGGAACGCGACAAAATCGAGTCATTTCCAAAGTGAACACGGGCGATTAAAAATAGTTTCGAATATATAAAACAAAAAAGATGATCATGCTCAAAGGTCTGTGACCTTTTACAAACGTCTTTAAAGCCTGGATTGATGGAAAGCAAGGTAATGCTAAGTGTATAGTGGGATTACAACTAGATTATTCATTACGAACTGCTACAAACGGACGAAACGGTTGACACCGAGCACAAATTAGCAACCTACAACGAGCTCTTTGGAAGAGGCGTCCATAATTAATCAATAGAAATTAATTGTGCTTCGTCATGTCAACGCCAGGTCACATATACGAGTATCTTTTATGATCAGATAAAAATTGTGGGGACTTGCTTGCTCAAAGCTTCTCCCATTCGGGTACCTTTAGTTTCAGTCTCTATAGAAGTCTCTTTATGGTAAAAAAATTTATGAAATTATGATGATTCCCGAAAAATATCAACAGGCCATAGTTAAATATCGATTAATATTTACTTGATTAAAATTCTATCAATCAATTCGATTTTTCTCTCATTTTTATCGGAAATATAATGTTGAGATTGGTCACGAAATTTCCACTTACTTATATCCTTCTCCGTCGCATGCTCGTACGTCACACAGAAACGTATCACATATTTGCCATTCACCATTGACGGTATCATATGCATTTTCCCCGAATGATTGATTTGCGCCAACAACTCCTGATTGTAAGTATCCTCGGCGCGCATGCGGAAGCAAACCAAACCCAAGTACACATCATTTCGCACCTCGAAGCGATCATCTTTACGCACGAGCATTTCGAATTTCTTCGCCAACGCCATATGATTGCGTATGTACGCCTGTAGACCCATAATACCATACGAACGAAAGACGAACCACAATTTGAGCGCACGGAAACGACGACTCAGTGGTATGCCATAATGACGATAATCTATCGCCTTGTCATGTTCGTGTTGTAAATACAGAGGATTAACATTCAATGCCGTCTTCAAACTCATCACATCCTTCACCCACATAGCGGATGCATCAAAATTGGTGAGCAACAGTTTATTGGGATTCGTATTGAATGAGTCGGCAAACTCGAGGCCTTCAGAGAATTTACGCATTTCCGGCAGTATGAAAGAGTTACCCGCATACGCGCCATCCACATGGAACCACACATTCGGCAATTCACGGCACACTTTACCAATTTCTGTGAGATTATCAAAAGCGCAAGCGCCGGTCGTACCAACAGTGGCGACAACGAAAAATGGCGTCAGACCGGCATTTGCGTCATTTTGCATTGCCTGACGCAGTAAGTCAACACGCATGCGTCCACGTTCATCCGCCTCGATGATGCGCAATTTGACCAGCGCCATTTTTGCCGCTTTCTCCACTGAAGAGTGTGCCTCCTTGCTAGCATACGCGATCAATTGTGGCAAAAAAACGCTCTCATGTATCTCCGAGCACATACCCTTCAGCTTTTGTATGGCACGCGAACGTGCTGTGATCATGCAAACAAGTGTACATTCAGAGGCGGAACCTTGTAGTGCGCCACCGCCACGACTGCCGGGCAGATCGCTGATGAAGGCTTTGGGCAGACCGAGCGCTTTGGCATACCAATCAAGTACGATGGTTTCGAGTTCTGTGGCAGCAGGTGAGGAGGCCTGGGGAGTGGAGTGAAGATAGTGGAGATTAATAATAATAATGATATTAAAATTAGAAAAGAGTCAATTGAAAACCTACCCATGAAAAACCGATCGAACCGACTGCTGCGCTGAGCATATCACCCAAAATCGAGGGAAACGAGTTGCCCGAAGGAAAGTATGCGAAGAATTTCGGATGATTCCAATGTACAACGCCAGGCATTACTTTTTCCTCGAAATCGGCGAGAACATCTTCGAATTTTTCCGGCTTTAATGGCGCTTTGGCTGTATTAGAGAAACAGAGGAGTGCGGGGAAAAACGGGTTAGATAAATAATTAAACAAATGCTCATAAATAAATACATACGTACATATGCACATATGCGTGTATCTATGTATGTTTGAACTTCAAATAAATGTAAATAAACAATTTATTTAGTTGAGCAGACAATTGGCATTGAGAGAATTTCGCTGTAAGCACAAACTAAATCACACTTACATGCATATGAGTACATATACTCGCGCATACATACACGTATGTATGTACACACATGCTCCTGCATTTACAGTAATTTGATTGTGTGTCCGTCTGTTCGTTTGTTCGTTTATTAATTTTTGTGTGCAAATAAGCTATTTAAACGAGAAAAGATTTTGTTTACGCCCACAAATTCTTCTTCTTCTTCTTCTTCATTTGCTGTATCTTTAATATATCAATTAACACTTTTGTACATTATTCTTTTTGGTCTGACAGGGCGTATGAGCTAATTGGGCGCTTGGTTATATGTCTCGCGCGTGTGTGTGCATGTGTATGTGTGTAGAAGTTAACAAATTGGCAGGTGTATGATACGTATGTATGTATGTACATATGTATGTATATATCTGCTTATATACTTTCATGTACAATTATATGTATGTATGTATGCGCAAAGCGCAGAAAACGAAAGCAACAACAATAATAAACAAATGTGTATGACTGTTAAACGGATTATTAAAAAAACATTGTTTCATCAACTCGAGTGTATGAATGGCGCATGGAAACACACAATTATACATGTGTATATATCTGTACATACGTATGTATGTATTCTATATGCGAATGTTTTTTTATTGTTGTTGTTGTTGTTGAAAAACATAAATTATCTTTTTCCCCCAGAGCTAAAGAGCACAGAGTAGGATTAAGAATGCCATTCTTTTCATTTTAAAAGTGTTAATACGATTTGATAGGTGCGCATTGTTGTGGCTACTATTGTTGTTGCTTGTTTTTTTATTTAAAAAATTTTTTTTTTTGTTAATAATTTATTTATTTGCTGCCTGTTAATTGGTTATTACTTATGAGTATTGTATTTATTTGCGAACACTTACTCATTTTTCTATTTCTCTATATTTACCTACATACAACATACACATACATATGTATATATATATGTATATAAACATATGCATATATTTGACTTATTATTTAGTTATTCAGTAGATACATATGTATGTATGTTTGTAGTTTCCACTTGCGGGGTATAGACTGCGGCGTGTGTACGAGCGAGTGCGGTACATGGCAACGGTAAGAGTTGTGAAATTTGTAGGCGAAGAAAAAAATTGCTATGTATGTATGAGTATGATTGTGATTTCAAGATATTCATTCAATTGTTAATATGCATGCATGGACATGCTGAAGGTGTGTATTTTTGGTGTTGAAAAGAAAATATGAATTTTTTTCTTGGAATAGCCCACTCATATATATTTTTGAACCGTTACTCGCCACCTACGCAAATTAATAATTTATAATTAACTTTCTATTATTTTGCTATTAAAAAAAAAAAACAAAAAAAAAATGAATAACACTTACATACAAATGTTTGAATATATGCATATATGTATGTATGTATGTTTAGCAAATTTTTGCTAATACTTTAATTTAAAAATTTTTAACACCAAAATTATTATGTAAATTGCTGTAACATTGAAACTTGTAACAGGTGTTAATTGAAAACGTGTGAGCTGAATCGTGATATTTTTAATGTAGTAGTGAGCATAAAATTGTATAACGCTAATACCGGCCCTGGTGACTGCGGCCGACGAGCCTCTCTTCTAATTTATAGTATGTGTCTTTCATTTATTGTATTCAATTTAATTGTTTTAGATTTTATATGAATATTTTAATTCATTTAATATGGCTTAAAATTTAATTTTATTATTTTAGCCTTAATTTAATTTAATTTTGTTTAAATTTATTTCATTTAGTAATTTGAGTATATTTTATTTCATCTTGTTTAAATTTGTTTCAATAGAATATAAATATTTTTGTTTTTCACTTGGGTATTTTGCTTTTATTTTGTTTTAAAATATTTAATTTAATTTAAATTATTATATTTTTATTTATGTACAATAATACAATTGGTTTTAATTTATTATATTTTTGGTTTTACAATATTATTAATTAATTTCAGTTTGTTTTAATTTTATCTGAAGTGTAACTTATTTTTATTTAATCTATTGTAATTTAAATTAATTTTATTGTTATTTATTTTATTTTCCTTCATTAAATTCAGTTTAATTTTATTTAATTTTAAAAAAAAAATTAATTAAAAAAAGGGAAAAAATAAAAATAAATAAAATAAATTAATATAAAATAGAATAAATTAAAATAAAGTTAAATAAAAAATTAAATAAAATTGATATTTTAATTAAAAAAACACTAAATTATATTAAACAAATATTTCTATAACTGAATTAAATTAAATGAATTAAAATAAAACTAAATCAAATTAATATAATATAAATTCAAACTCAGTAAAATATATCAAAATAAAAAAACTTAAATTAAGATTAAACAAATATTTCTATAACTGAATTAAATTAAATGAATTATTTATTTTAGTTCATTTAATTTAATTCAGTTATAGAAATATTTCTTTAATCTAATTTAGTATTTTTTTTTAATTAAAATATCAATTTTATTTAATTTTTTATTTAACTTTATTTTAATTTATTCTATTTTATATCAATTTATTTTATTTCTTTTTATTTTTCTCCTTCTTATTCAATTTAGTTTTTTGTAATTTATTTTATTTTCCTTAATAAAATTTAGTTTACTTTTGGCTTATTTAATTTAATTTATTCTTTATTTTATTACTATTTATTTTGTTGTTGTTGTATTTTACATAGTATTTGTTTTATTTACTTTACTTTGTTTTATGTACTTTTTTTTTTGTTAAATTCATTTTAATTATTCATTATTTAGCTTATTATAGTATATTTTATTTTTATTTAATTTAATTTAGTTTTACTTAAATTTCTTATTATAAATTATTTATATTTTATTGGTCTTGGGTTAATATCTTTATTTTTATTTATTTGGTTTAATTGATTATGATTTTATTCAACTGCATATATTATATATTAATTTAATTTTATTTTATTATACTTTGCTATATTTAAGTAAATTTAATCTTTCATTTTTTTATTATGTGCTTTGTTTCATTTCATTTTATTGTATTTTATTTTATTTGAAATTTTTTTTAATAATTAAATATATCTTAATTTTAATTTTACTCTACTTTTTAATTTGTTTTATTTTATCTATTTTATTTGATTTTTTATAATTTAAGTTTAATCATTTTATTTTGCTCTTCATATAAAACATTTTATCTTTAATAATTTTGGTATTTGATATTTAGTTGTCTACTTGTATTATTCACTTCTAAAGTGCCAACATTCGGTATCAACCAAAAGTGGGCGTGTTATCGATCATTTGAAAAACTAAAACTTGGAATTTTTCAATTTTTTTTTTCAGAATTAGTATTAGATATTTATTTCATTAAGTTAGACATTATTAAAAATAATAATAATAATAAAAAAATGTGTTTCTTTATATTCTAATTATGTTTGTTTGCTTATTTCAGCTTACACGCCAGTTGAGGTAAGTTCAGGAGTCACAATAAAAATTAACTTTTTTTACTTTATGTCATCCTCCTTCTCAATATAAATATATAAAAAGTAAGTACAAGATAAAATGATTTTTTTTTATTTTTAATGCTTTTATAATATATATACATTCAAAAATTATTGCCCGTAAGCGGATAAATACTTTTTTTTACATTTAATATTTTTGAAAGTTTTTTTTGGTGATTTATTTGCATACAAATTTTGTTTTATTCTGCAGACTGTGGATGAATGTAGATAAAAATATCAAAATTATAATTAAAAAATGGAGAATTTAAAAATAAATTATTTTAAGATTTTTAATTTCAGTTTTTATTTACTAACAGATTTGTATTATATATTTTTATGAAAATTTAATTAATAATTAATATTTTTTCCATTTTATGTTTATTTATATTTATTTATAAGCTTTCATATATTTTGCAGTGTTTAATATATTTTGCATTTTTGAATATATTTCTAAGAAAATATTATTGATCAATTTTTTTTGAATATTTTATAAATTTCTTATTTCGTTTTTTTTAGCACTCTATTTAAATTTAATAAATGCTTAATTTTTTATGTGATTTTTTGTATATTTTTTTTCAATTAATTTAGTAGTTTGTTATAATTTAGAATTTTTTAACTTTGTTTAAATTTTTGTTACATTTCAGTTTTTGCCTTAAAAAATCCTTATTTTTGTTATTGTTATTTATTTCATTTTTATTTATTATTATTATTTATTATTATTATTGTTATTATGTTTTAATATCATTATTATTTATTAGTATAATTATTATTATTAGTATTACTATTATTATTATTATTACATATTTTAGTTTAATTAATATTATTAGTATTATTTTTTGTTTATTATCGTTATTATTTATTATTATAATTTTAATGTATTTTTATTGTTATTATTTTATTATTTTAATTTTTTATTATTATTATTATAGTTGTAATTTATTTTTTTATTAGTATTATTATTATTATTATTATTATTATTATTATTATTATTATTATTATTATTATTTTTATTATTATTATTATTATTATTATTTATTATTAATAGTATAATATTCTCATATATAATATTTCTAATTTTAATTTATTGTTATTTTGATTTATTTTATTATTTTAATTTTTTATTATTATTATTATGGTTGTAATTTATTTTTTTATTAGTATTATTATTATTTATTATTATTAATAGTATAATATTTTCTATACTTAATATTTCTAATATTAATTTATTGTTATTTTGATTTATATTATTTTTATTTATTTTAATTACAATATTATTTTTCTTGTTATTTTTATGATTTGCTTATATTATTTTTTTATTCATTCTTAAAAAAATTTTTGGTTTAAAAAAAAAATCTCTCAAAGCCGTCGATTTTTCGCTAAAATTTTGAAATTCAAACACATTTTGTTTTATTTTTAACACTTTTTTACCTGGTATCAGTTTCTTTAAATATCCTGGATCCAGCGTGGGCGCCACATCACGTTTCTCAATATTTTGCGCATAATCACATATGTAATCCACCATATCCTTGCCATACTTTCGAAATTCTTCGGCATTCATTTTGACTGTGTGTGTGTGTGTGTGTGTATGAGTGTTGTTTTAACGTTTCTTATTAAACTATTAATACTTTTGTTGAAAAAGATAAGCCTTGAAATCTGCTTTCCTTTAAGGTTTGTCTTTGTACTAAATTTGCTAATGCGTCGTTTAAGTGATCTTCTTTTTTGATATTTTCACCTTAAACGTCACTTTAGTTTCAATTCCTTTAATTGATGATGAATGCACTTTACACGAGCGTTAATTGAAATTGAAAATCGGAATTTTGTTTTCACTTTACGTTGCTTGTACTTTTCTGTTTCTTACAGCAAGTGAGCGAGTATTTTATTTTATTTTCTTTTGATGTGTATTTTGCACCTCACTAATTTCACAAGCTATCCGCACAATGCAATTGCAATTTTCTATATTAAAATTAATTCCTTTTTTTTATTTCTTTTATATTATTCTATGTGGCACGATCAATGTCTTACCACTTCCTTAACGCGAATGACTTGAGCTTTGTCCGATTGTAGGTCTTTATATTGGCGTAAGCATACTACATATAAGTGAGAATGTATGTATGTGTGTGCGTGTGTGCATGAATAACGAGGCGATCTCGTCGTATTCGCTTGTTTGTTTTGTTGCCGGAGATAGATCTACGCCGCCACTTCGTTGATGTGGTGGGCTCGCTCTTTGCGAGATCGTATATGTATGTCCGTATGTCCGTATGTATATATGTGGGTAAGTACTATACAAATGCAGTCAAATTCTGTTTGCTGTTTGTACAACAGGTACTCTAAGCGATATGGTTGGCTGACAGCTAGCAGTAGCAGTTGGTTGATTGCTATTAACTCGGTCGATCGATCGCTTGATCGAAAGATCGTCAGCTACTCGTTGTCGTTGTATGTAGTCGTTGTTGCTTTTGTTGTCAGTTTTGCGCGGGGGCAGCACGAGCGCGTGATCATTGATTATTAGGATCGTCACACGATCATATACGTGTACAAACTTACATACATATACTCATGTAGTGTACGTGTATTGGTGTCAGCAACATCATGATTGCTGGCCATAGGAAACGTCATTAGTACTCACTAGTATCTAGGAGGTATGAGTTATATATGTACATACTTATACATACGTACATACATGTGTACATATATGATAAGTTAAAAAGTTTAGCGCTCATGTTCAGGTAGCCAACAGATCGTATCTTCATCTATTACCTGCGCTGTTTGCATAGCTGTTCACGCTGTGTGCCTGTTGGCGCGCTCATTTGAGCTATCAATCATTTAATTGGTATTTGGAATCCCCACGATGAGTTTGTGTACTGCATATGTACATATGTATGTATGTATGCAAATTTGTACAGAAAAGTGTCAATATCTATACAACTATGACACTTGCTGTCTACAGAAATTAGATACTTTTCAACTGAAAAATACAACATTTTCCAACTGTACATATATTCAATATAAAATGTAAGGATTTATTATGAAGAAATCTTTTTAGTGAATGGAAAAACCATGAATGAATGAAATTGTCGTTTGTCGTTTGCCGCTTGCCGTTGGCTGTGAAATTTTGCACCAATTGAAATGGCATATTTTACACATTCGCACAAACATAGTACATACATACATACATACAAATGCCGGTGTCTTGCGAAGAATATAAAAATATTCATCACTCAAAGGAGGAATTTTTAAATTGTTTGTGACGTTTAAACTTGCGCACTCACATGCAAATACATCCATTTACTAGTACTTCTGTATATACATATGTACAATATGTATGTGCGTATTTATTTTATGTTCATCATACATACATACATGCATACATGCATACGTATATGCATATATTTATTTTATGATTTTCAAGTATAATTATTCTGTGCACTGATGCATATGTATTTAGTGTTCGCGTGTCGCCACAAAATGTTGTATAAATAATTAGATATCTAATTAATCACAATATAAAATGCATATGGAGATTGAATTGCTTTTTTATTCTCTAATAAATATTACGAAATGTGATTTTTATTGAAAAAATTACCCAAAAGTTAATAAACAATTTAGTGTTAGGAAACATATTTTCATTTTTAATTTGGAAAGTATACTGTTTTCTACCAAAAACGTGTTGTACATACATACATACATTTGTACATATGTACATATGTGTGCTAATTAGTCTGAAATATCAAATTAAATTAATTTTATTCCAAGTAAAGTCATTTTGGGTATGCTAAATTCAATGAGATCTGCAATTTTTATAGGTTAGGTCGAAATAAATTTTTTAAATTTTAATTTCTAATTTTATTAGGATTTCGTCATTTTATAAATCGTTTTAAGGGTTTTTGAATCTTAAATCCCTTTTTCTTTCTCTCAAACTTAGAGCAATTTTTATTAAATTTTGAAGTTTAAAAAAAATTCAATTTTACTGTTTTGTAGTTTTCAGTAATGTTTTAAATAGAGTTTTTTATTTTTAATCGATTTTGTAAATGTTAATCAATTTTTTAATTTTCCATGTGTTTTTAAATTTTTTTTCATTCATTTTTAATAAATTTTGTAATTTATAATCTATTGTGTAATTTTTAATCAAATTTTTAATTAATAATTTTCAGTGAATTTTGTAATTTTGTAATGCTTAATCAAATTCTTAATTTATTATCAATTTTGAAATTGTGATCAATTTTGTCATTAATAATCAATTTTTTATTAACTTTGCAATTTTTAATCAATTTTGTAATTTTTAATTAATTTTGTAATTGTTAAATAATTTTGTGGTTTTCAATTTTGTTGTTTTAATCATTTTTTTTAAATTGCTATCAATTTTTTATTATTAAACAAATTGTGATTAGTAATAAAATTTTTAATTTATCATGAATATTTAAATAATTTTGAAATTTCGAATCAATTCTTCGATCCACTTTGAGTCAAAAGCATCTGGCAACTACCCATGTGGAGGTGTCAGACCTGCAGCGCCGATTTGGAGTACCCATACGAGTTCCCAAAAATATTTTCTTGATAACAGCAACCTCCGTCCCAATAATATGTAAGATTCCTGCGCCGACCTTTACTTCAAACTCCGACCCATCCGTAAATAAGTACAGTGCTCCCTTCTTCCAGTAGCTTTGTTTTCTCCAGTACTCTCGTGAGTGGGAAAAGGTTTACTCGGCGCCAGCTCTGAGCCTCTAAAGAATACGCATATGTTGCATATTGGCATATTAAACAATTTTGAGCTGCTTTGATATAAAAATTCATAAAACAATTTGTAGTTATGCAGATCTAGTACATTAATGTAAGAGTCTTACCGACAGTGATCTTGGAGCAGCATAAAGCTACCGGCGCTATGTACGTGTAGCTACACGATGTTTCCTGTATGCCCCTGCTGGTAGCATTTCATTTTTTGCGTCGAATTTACCTGTGTAGACAAGCGCCCATAGAGCACACCACACAGTGACTTTTCGAAGATGTAACGGCGTCTCAATAATGGCTTGTGGATTATCGTCACTGTAAATGCGACAAATTTATTTATACCCATTCAACCGAAAGTGAGCTTCACCACTACACAACATTTTCGATTGAAAAACGGGCTGGGTATCCTTCTCGGACCCATTCACCGAACATGCGACACGCTTGATGGATTCATTCGGTTCTCCCGATACTCTGCTACACAGCAGCGACATTATCTTCGATGAGCACTGTACGGCGTTGCTGAGGATGCACATTATTCATTCGAGTAAAGATTGTGCGAAATCTATTCATAGTTGAATTACCAGCTCTCTTTCGCGACTGTGTTGACCGAATATCACGCGTATCGAACCTTTATTTTGGTAATAAATTTGCACGATTTGCAAAGTAGCCGAAAAGGCAAATTCTGTAGAAAGTGTTACCATATCGATCTAAAAACAAAAAAACACTATTTATATTACTTGGATTTACGTCAAGAGCAGCCAACTTGTAACCACATAAGACGACCATATTTCAGCCCTCACTTTTCCAGCTCCTTTAGTAAGACGTTGACCAGAGTAAGATACAGAAAAGAGAGGATGGATGATACTCTAGGTTAGATTCTGCTATAGTTATGCTATTACACCATATTCTGAAAATTGTTCATGCTTTATTGTAACTTTAATTGAACATTTTCATTTAGTACATTCCCTTTAAATTTTTTTACAATCAACGATTTCACAATGTGTTACAAAGTAACTGGAGAGTTCTACCACAGTATAAGTGGTCAAACAAAATAGTGGAAATTTTTATTATAATTATATCAAAAGTGGAGATTTCCTAAAACAAAATCATTAAATAATATATATCTTTGTATGACGAGCTCAATCGATCGTGGAATAATTTATCAAATCTCTCTTAGTTAAAAAGAGCAAAAAGACTGCTTAAGGCCACAGCCAATGAAATTCCTATGATGTGAGCAAAAATATGCAATAAAAACAGATTTGCTTATATGTAACTATTACATATGCTTTCCAGATATACATATATATATATACTAAAAAATATGTTTTACTCACTTCAAGCAATATAATTAACTCATTCTTTACAATTATTTAGTAATTATTGCGTAATAATGCAATCATAAAACAGACAGTATCACCATAGCACGGTGCTGTGATTATAAATAAACGAGATTTTTTTTGTAAGATTTCCCACTAAAATGCTGTGATTTTCCACGATCTACATGCTAAACTATTAACACAATAAATTTTTTAATTATATATCTCGTGGGTGACATTTAATAAACACTCAATAAATTAGTTTAAGAAATTTTTTAAAATTTAGCGTGAAAACGATGTTTATTTTTAAACGATGAAATTTTAATTTTAATTAATTTTATTAGTAAACAATTTGAAATATCTTCATTAAATATATTACAAATGTCTTTCATTTGATTTTCTTTTATTTTTTGCTCATAAATCATCATCATCAAATCGTTGACTATTCATTTGCGAAGAGATTTTTTTATGGTTCATATACATAAAAATTCTCACCATAAATTTTCTAATATAATTAATGGAATCGTAAATTATTTCTGACATATAGCACGCGTTTACATACTCACATTATTTATTTACTAAGAAAAAGCATTAGCTGCTAGCTATTAGCTTTAGTAAAAAGTGATTCATTATTTTTGCATTAAATTTAAGGTTTTATTTATTAGAGTTAGAATTATCTCATTTATGTTAAGTATGCGCCGATGCATGAGAACCTCGCAACCAAGTTAACGGTGTTTCGAGCGAGTCACTATCGACGTGTGTGGGCATTGTCATGTGATGAAACACAATTCACCCCCAGTTGGCTAAGGCTGGGCGCTTCTGAGCGATTGCTTCCTTCAAACGGTCCAATGGCTGAGTGTACAGATTGGAATTAAGACTTTGACCATTTCCACCAAATGCACCAGAAAACCTTCTTGGTAGTAATTTTTGGCCTGGAGACCATTTCTGCTGGCTCACTACCTTACGACTATGACCGTTTTCGTTTGACGCTGCTGTGAGTGCTAAACTTTTCAT